TAGACTTGATACATGCGTTATGTCATGAGCAATCTCACATCTTCATGATCTTATTCCAGGAATGGCCAGAAGAAGATTATCCATCTTATGCGAATGGTCCAGGATACGTTCTCTCCTCTGACATAGCAAAGTTCATCGTATCCGATTTTGAAAAGCACAAGTTGCGAGTATGTGTTTGCATGTGTGTAGTCTGTGCGCATGCTCAGGCCATGGATGTGATGATTTAATAAATTACTGTTTATATGGTGCAGTTGTTCAAGATGGAAGATGTGAGCATGGGAATGTGGGTGGAGCAGTTCAACAATTCTAAACCGGTGGAGTATGTGCACAGCTTGAAGTTCTGCCAGTTTGGGTGCATCGACGACTATTACACCGCACATTACCAATCCCCGAGACAGATGATATGCATGTGGGACAAGTTGCAACATCAAGGGAAACCCCAGTGCTGCAATATGAGATGACCACGGTGCATTATCAAACATTTTTTCTTTACAATATAGAGAATGTGAAAAAGAATACATAGAAACAAGTTTTGCAGTCATAGTATACCGCTGTAAATAGTCGGTGGGGGTCAATTATAAACCTTTTCCAAATTCTGTCAAATTTTCTCTTGTTTTTTTTTCAGTACCTCATTTACATTATTTACGATCGAAGAAAAGCTGTAGAGCACAAAAAAACGAATGTTCTTGATTGAAATCAGAAAGATTCGACCCCCGCCCATTTCTGTCTACTTTTCTTTAGGCCTCTCAATTCAGGTTGGGCTTGTTAGAATTAGAACCATTCTGGTCGGTCTTAGATGTGGATGAGTTTCTTTTTTCATGTTTTTAATCTATGATGTTAAACCCTTCTATTAAAAAATTAGTTTTAATAACCAAAATAGTATTTTACTACAGTAAAAGTAAAATAAAAAATGACATTGATATTTAAGGGCTTGAAATTCAGTTCGACCGGGTCAATTAAGTAAAACTATAATTATAATTTAATAATTAAATTATAATTAAAAGATTAATTATTGAATTAATATTGACATATAGAAATATTGGATTGGACTTTTAAATATGATTTAAAAGGAAATTGACAAAATAGTCCAAAAGGCTATTTGGTCCAAGGGATAAGCGGCATAAGATGATATGACCCATTGACCAAATGGAGTCCCAAGTACCCACCCAATTGCCTTTTGTGTTGTCCTATATAAGCTAAGTGTTGGAGAAAACTTAGCTAGGGCTTTTGGTTTCCTACTTTGATTGCTGAGTGATCATCTTTGTATCTTATCTTCCATAAACCAAAAATTGGTCCAATCAAGAAGTAGACTAGCATCTATACTTCTTAATTGCCTTCTTTTCATCTTTAGGAACATTTGGTGTGGTGAGGTAGATGACTCCAATCTTGGAGCCTTAAGGTGAAGGAGTCAAAATCAAGAGAAACAAAAAGCCTTCCAACAAAGGTATATGGGCTTGTTTTCAAACTTATGTGATATATGTGTTAAATTTTCTTTTTCATGTCACTTATTCATAGGATATGGGATATAGGATGAATGAGTAGGAGTATGAAAAGAAAAAAAAATCAAGAGATGACACTAATGGGGGTGGCGGCAAGAAGAGGCTTTTTGGGTCTTGTGTGCGTCTGTGTGAAATGTTTACATGGTTGTGTTAGTCTTGAAATTCTAAGCATGTATATGATTTTTGCATGAATTTAGGATTTTTGTGTGATTTATGAAGAGTCATAAAGATTTGAAAAAGGTTTTTGAAATGTTCTTGGTGTTCATGATATGTTCATAGGAGTTCTTGTCAAGCATGCTTTTTGATCTTATTTGATACTTGACATTTGTATGTTGAATGTTAGTAAAAAACATTTTATGACATCCTATGACATTTTCATATAGTATATAGTTTTTGTCCCCTAAAGTTTTAAAAAGAAACCAATGAAAATGAAGATGCTTTTTGGGTATAAAAGATGGTACCACCTTGTGGTCCCAAAATCACACCATCTTTTTCAAAATATCACCACATAACACCACACACACAAACACACACATTCTCTCCTACATGGCCAGCCCCACCCTAGGATCCCTTTTGGAGTCCTCATGCAATTTTTGTAAATTAGGGGTTGTTTATGCAATTGTTGAAAAATTACAATTTTGCCCAAAACTTTAATTAATTGCGGTTTTTGGTTTCCTACTTTGGTTGATTGAGTGATCATCTTTGTATCTCATATTCCATAAACCAAAAATTGATCCAATCAAGAAATAGACTAGCATCCATACTTCATGATTACTTTCTTTTCATCTCTAGGAGCATTTGGTGTGGTGAGGTAGATGACTCTAATCTTGGAGTCTTAAGGTGAATGAGTCAAAACCAAGAGAAATAAAAGGTCTTTCCAACAAAGGTGTTCATTCTTGAGAAATCAAGAAAAGGTCATCAAGGGTAAAGATATATTCCATTTTTCCTTTTTCTATTTCTTACTATCATTGATAAGCAAAGAGACTAGGCTAAGATACTTGGTTTAAAATGAAAAAAGTTTAGCTCAACTAGTATAAACAAAATGAATCCGCCATTTACAATGTTTTTGTTGTATAGGTTGTGGCTAAAGTTCATTTCCTAAGCATTAGATGCATGTTTCCTTCAGGACTTTAGTCCAAGGACCATTGCTACAATTTTGCCAAAACTTTATTTTTCGAGCTGTGGACTAGTCTGTCCCATAACTATATATGGGTGGGCTTAATAAAAGTGACATGTTAATTGTATGTGACAAATATAGGTGTCAAACGGATGGAGCCAATTTTAGCACCTCATGAATCCAGACTCAGACATGATCCAGTTAACTGGGACTACTTTTCAATTTTCATGTTAAAGGCTCAATTAGGTTGCCATTTCCAATTTGCCAGAGCAACATGTAGTACTAGTGATTATTATTAGCATGCGATAACTTTTCAGTTCTCATGGTGGACAATTGAGGTTTTGATTGGGACTTGCTCAACCCAACCCACTAATAAAGTTGATAACATGACATCAGTAATATCTTTTAATTCGTGTATTTTCGTTGCCTTTAGGGGAACACAAGTAGAGGTGTCAAATGGATCTTTGACCTGTATCTTTGAGCCATGTCGGGACAAGGTAATTAGATCTAATAAGTCGAGCCGGCTCGAAACTCAATAGACCGATCAGTTGAAACAAACGCAAAAGAGATTAAAAGTACAAGTTTAACACAAAAACATAACGAAATCAAAAGCAAGAATGGTACAAAATGATATGTAATTATGCACCGATCACTGACTAGTTGATGAACACAAAGACAAATTATCTACATGAGGTTGGGTCAACAATATGATTCTTGTTCTTCTGTATCTCTATAATTTTTTATTCTATTCATGGCATTCTTTTTAGAAACATAGATTAAGTTGAGTTTATGATTCTTCTTGTTCTCTAGTATTTCTGAATTCTTGTTATATTTACATTGAAGGAAATCCACTGGGGTTTCTTTCCTGGATGCCACGAGGGGAGGCTGTGGTGGGAACCCTTTGGGGTTCTTTTGATTTCTGCATTTGATATATTCTTTACATTCTTATTTGATTTATGTTGACCCTTGATACTGTTGTTATAGGCTGATAGGCTTAATGAGCTGCCCACTGTAATTAGGTATACCTTATGGCAAAGTAGCTCATGGCTACAACCATTTTATCCAAATCATGGAATAAAAGCTTGTGGTGGAGGCACGCTTCCGATAGCTCTGCCAGTAACGAATACCAATTTAAACAATCGGTGGGTAAACTTGTTGGCCAATCTATGCTGGCCTTCAATTTAATATGTAAAAGGTTTACCGCCCGTCAGTATATGTCTAACTTCATTGGGAGAGCACCACTTAAGATTGAAAATAAAGTTAGAATTTTGGAGGTCTCAGTCCCTGCCCAAGACTAGAGAGTTCTCACCCTTCCATCCGAACTTTTACAAAATGGACATGTGCAAGTCTTGAAATTTGAGAGACATATTAGATTTCATCCAGGATTGTACACATGACTAAGGATAGTATAAGTTGATGTATCGTTCGAGTCATCTAACTCAAATCAATCCATGTTGAACTTTTTTGACATGTGCCCGCATCTTGAAGAGTTGTACGTCAAAGGGAGAATCATATAGCTCCCTTTGGAATCACAAATGTTCCTCATCCATTCTGTTAGCCTGAAAAAGCTGAATTTCACATTGCATATACGAGCAAAAAAATGACGAGAACTCTCGGAACCTACTATTGCTGCTAAGAACTTGTATCATTGCATAATTGAAGCACTTAACCTGCAAGTTCTCCATATTGAAGAATCTGTCTTTGTGAGTTTCACAATTAGAAATTTGCAATCCCTTCAAGAAGCCAGGGTGGAAGTAGGGTTTTTTGAATCTAGAGATGAACTCGGTGAAGTTCTTGAACGTCACCTTCTTTCCGAAAAAATATTTTCCACTATTTATGGAGTATCAAATGTGAGGTCACTTGTTTGCAAGGAATGAGCTTTTGGGGTAAGGTTTCCTTTTACTTTTGTATTTGAAATTTGGAATGAAATGTGTTTGGTGAAATTAGGACGAGGAGGAGGCTTGGGTAGTCATGCTCGAACTTGAAATTGTAGTTCAATTTTTGTAGGCACTAGGTTTATGCTTTTGTTGGGACTACCGTCATGCTACTGAAGAAGCATTTATGAACAAGTATATAGACATAAACCTTCCCTGGCTCAAAAGTCTTAGGGTGAGATAGCACACTCTGATGAGTGGGAATTCCTACTTTATTTGCTTATTCAGATACCTTACTTAGAGAGGATCGAGCTCGAAATGGTGAAGAGGGAAGATGTTAGGGAAAACAGAAGATTCGTTTGGAACTCAGAATAGGGGTTACGGTAGAGTGCTTGAGGGAGACTGTCAAACAAATTCGACTCATTGGATTTGGAGGAATGGAGGTAGAAGCACATATCATTCAGGATTATTTTACCATTGTTCAAGGATGAAAAACGGAAGCAATAATTGTCACAGTGGGACTGAGGGACATACTTTAGTCTCCCTCAGGCACTCTGCCGTAACCCCTATTCGGGGGTTCCAAACGAATCTTCTGTTTTCCCAAACTTCTTCCCTCTTCACCATTTCAAGCTCAATCCTCTCTAAGTGAGGTATCTGAACAAGCAGATAAAGTAGGAATTCCCACCCATTAGAGTGTGCTATGCTCACCCTAAGACTTTTGAGCAAGCGAAGGTTTATGTCTATATACTTGTTCATAAATGCTTCTTCAATAGTATGGCGGTAGTCCTAATAAAAGCAGAAACCTAGTGCCAGCAAAAATTGAACTACAATGTCAAGTTCAAGCATGACTATCTAAGCCTCCTCGTCGTCATAATTTCACCAAACACATTTCATTCCAAACTTCAAATACAAAAGTGAAAGGAAACCTTACCCCAAAAGCTCATTCCTTGAGAATAAGCGACCTAACATTTGATGCTTCATGAAGAGTGGAAAATATTTTTTCGAAAAGAAGGTGAAGTTCAAGAACTTCATCAAGTTCAACTCTGACTTCAAAAACTGCTTCCACCCTGGCTTCTTGAAGGGGTTGCAAATTTCTGATGGTGAAACTCACAAAGACAGATTCTTCAATATGAAGAACTTGCAGGTTATGTGCTTCAATTATGCGACGATACAAGTTCTTAGCAGCAGTAGTAGGTTTCGAGAGTTCTCGTCATTTTTTTGCTCGTATATGCAATGTGAAATTCAAAATTTTCAGGCTAACAGAACGGAAGAGGAATATTTGTGATTCCAAATAGAGCTCTACGATTCTCCCTTTGACGTACAACTCTTCAAGGTGCGGGCACATGTCAAAAAAGTTCAGCATGGATTGATATGAGTTAGATGACTCGAACAATACATAAACTTGTACTATCCTCAGTCCTATGTACAATCTTGGAGGAAATCTAATATGTCTCCCAAGTTTCAAGACCTGCATATGTCCATTTTGTAAAAGTTCAGGTGGAAAGGTGAGAACTCTCTAGTCTTGGGTAGGGATTGAGACCTCCAAAATTCTAACTTTATTTTCAATCTTAAGTGGTGCTCTACCATTATTCTCAATCCGAATTAGCGTCTTCCCAATGAAGTTAGACATATACTGACGGACGGTAAACCTTATACATATTAAACTGAAGGTCAGCATAGACTGGCCAACAAGTTTACCCATCGATTGTTTAAATTGGTATTCGTTACTAGCAGAGCTATCGGAAGCGTGCCTCCACCACAAGCTTTTATTCCATGATTTGGATAAAATGGTTGTAGCCATGAGCTGCTTTGCCATAAAGTATAACTAATTACAGTGGGCAGCTCACTAAGCCTATCAGCCTATAACAACAGTATCAAGATTCAACATAAATCAAATAAGAATGTAAAGAATATATCAAATGCAGAAATCAAAAGAACCCCAAAGGGTTCCAACCACAACCTCCCCCCATGTCATCCAGAAAAGAAACCCCAGTGGATTTCCTCCAATGTAAATATAACAAGAATTCATAAATACTAAAGAACAAGAAGAATCATAAACTCAACTTCATCTATGTTTCAAAAAAGAATGCCATGAATAGAATAAAAAAATTATAGAGATACAGAAGAACAAGAATCATATTGTTGACCCTCATGTAGATAACTTATCTTCGAGTTCATCAACCGGTTAGTGATCGGTGCATAATTACATATCATTTTGTACCATTCTTGCTTTTGATTTCGTTATGTTTTTTAGTTAAACTTGTACTTTTAATCTCTTTTGCGTTTGTGTCAACTGATCAGTCTGTTGAGTTTCGAGCTGGCCTAACTTATTGGATCTAATTACCTTGTCCCGACATGGCTCAAAGATACAGGTCAAAGATCCATTTGAAACCTCTACTTGTGTTCCCCTAAAGGCAAAGAAAATACACGAATTAGAAGATATTACTGATGTCATGTTATCAACTTTATTAGGGGGTTGGGTTAAGCAAGTCCCAATCAAAACCTCAGTTGTCCACCATGAGAACTGAAAAGTTATCGCATGCTAATAATAATCACTAGTACTACATGTTGCTCTGGAAAATTGGAAATGGCAACCTAATTGAGTCTCTAACACGAAAATTGAAAAGTACACCCAGTTAACTGGATCATGTCTGAGTCTGGATTCATGAGGTGCTAAAATTTTCTCCATCCATTTGACACCTATATTTGTCACATACAATTAACATGTCACTTTTATTAAGCCCACCTATATATAGTTACGGGACGGACCAGTCCATAGCGCGAAAAATAAAGTTTTGGCAAAATTGTAGCAATGGTTCCTGGACTAGGACTTTACTTTTTGTCCCTTATATTTCTAAATTGTTATGGTAGTACTTTAATTATGTCTCCAGTTTCAAAAACTGTCTTTTCCGTCATCTCAGTCAACTTTTCTGTTAAATTTGATAACATGGCATGGACAAGTCCTACTTGGTATGGGAAAAAATGTCTTTTCACACATTAAAATGATTAAGCCGGTTTTGAAAGCGAAACCTTGGCATGGGAAAAAATGTATTTTCACTTATGAAAAGTATTACGCCGGTTTTGAAAGTGAAAGTTATCGAAGGTCAACATCGAACAGAGGAAAAAACGAGTGAAAGGGGAAGGGGAAAAAGGGGAAAAAGGGAAAAGGGGTAGGGTTTCTTGATTGCGATGTTCAAAGTACGATTTAAGAATTAAAAGATCTTTTATCGGAAAAAGTTTGACTGGCATTTCCTTAAGTGTCCTCAAACTCGAAGCCCCTACATCTGTCATTGTTTTAGCTATACGAGTGGAAAAATAAAATGTTTTTGGGCTAACGACAAAAGACACCCTGTTGGTTTAGAGTCATTCTCAAATTGGACACATAGTATCAATTTTATCCATTTATGCCCTCACGTTTTGAACATCGTCCAATTTCATCATTCCATTAAGTTGACCAGACAGTCAATCGTTAACTGCTGACGTGGCACCCGTGGGACTCCCGCCAGCGCTTTGACCATTCCGCGCATGCCAGTTGAAGGGCAGTTTTGGGTTTTGACAATTCAAAAAAAAAAAACACTGAATATTGCGCCCAAAATTGGGCACGCTTTGCAAGAGCTGGGGAATGAAGAGAAAGCCCCAAATTCGTCCTCAACCTCAATTTAACCTAAATCCTAAATTTCCATAGCTGAGAGCTCATATCTACGGTTTCAAAGAAGTGAGTTGCCCAAAAGGTGTATTTGAATGTATTGGCTCCTTAACCCAGAAAACGAAGGAGAAATAGAGCATAAGGCGAAGGTGTGTTGGTGTGGTAAGAATGCGAGAATCCGAACCTCGTGGACAATTTCGAATCCTAGGAGGTGATTCGCTGTGTGTGCAAAGGTAAACAACTGGATTTGGTGCAAAATATTAGATTTTGAATTGTATCAGGTGCAAATATTAATTTACAAAGTGGGTTTTGTGCACGGTAGAGGAGGTTGTGATTTCTGGGTTTGGTATGATGTGGAAATGTGTGAAAGGTCTAAAGTTGTGATTTTGGGATTGCTAAAATCACGAGATAAGTTGGAAATTTCACTAGCAAAGGCTAGATGCAGAGAGAAGGTTTTTTGGGCAACGTTGGTGGTGTTGTGGATGCTTATTGCAATGTTCTTCTTTGGAGGGAATAATGAATCATATGGATTGAAGCTGAAAACTTTGGATTTGGCATGAAATTGGGTGTTTTAGGGATGCATTGTGCTTTTGGTATGGGAAGTACCATGTTTGTGGTGTAATGTGATGTGCTTTTGGTAAGGGTCTGCACTGTGCCTTTGGTATGGAAAGCAGTGTGTTTTTGGTTATGTAATGGGAATGACTATGTAATCTGCATACAATGTGAAATTTTGGTAATGCAATAGCCTGTTCATTCCAACAACTTGTTTGTACAACATATGAACAAATTCATTTCCACTTGCAGCTTACAACAAAATAGGCCACATAATAACATATCCACTTGTAGCATTACAACAAAATAGGTCACATAACAACATTTACAACCTTCCAAAATAACACAACCTGTTTTCCAAAAAAAGCAGTACATGTTTTCCAAAAACACAATACTTGTTTTCCCAAAAAACAGAACATGTCTTAAAAAATATCACAAGCTATCTTCCTAACATAAGGTAGCTTGTCTTTCAAAATAACCTAATAACCTAATCCAACCAGCTAATAAAGGTAACCAGTTAATAAAGGTAAAACTGTCTGATGCTCAAAATAACCAAACCAGCTAATAGAACACAGACAAGTGTGTAAGACCATCATCATTCCTTGCTCAAGTTTGATGCTCCCACAACCATAGGTCATTTCCTCAATAAATAAGAATTTTCAGTTGATGCAGAAGGGGCAGATCCAGTTGCAAGAGAGACATATCCACTTGCAGGATGGGCAAATGTTGAGGATGGAGCAGCTGAATAAGTTGGTGGTGCATTTGAACTTCCACTTGCAATGGTGGCCTTTCTCTTCCATTTTCCTTTCTGCATAGATCTTACAGGCTTAGCTCACCTTGTTTTTGTACTGGGACCAGCTTCACTTATTTGAGTAGTTTGTTGGGATGATGCAACAAATAATAAACTGTTAGTTGATCATATTCCAAAAACATTTAAAATTTATAAAATTAATCAAGATGATCATTTTAGATGTTTCACCTTCTTTTTTTTTTTTTTTTTTTTTTTTTCCTATGACAAGTCCTTTTATTGTGGCCCAATCTTCCACATTGGCCACATCTCAGTGAGTCTTAAACTTTTGTAACAACATTGGCCTTCTTACTGCATTCAACTGCTTCTTTCCTTCTAGCCTTTCTTGGCCTTCCAGGTTGTTTAGAGTATGAAGGAGGCACACATGGTGGCATATTAGTTCTATCCCACAACTCCATCCATTCATAGGTAGTATGAGGTTTTCATATGCCTTGAAATATGTCTGAGTGTGATAACATGCATCCACATAATCCATTACGTTCAGGCCCCCATTGTAATTTATAGTTGCCACTCCATGAACACAAGGCCAACCAGTCAAATCCCATTCTTTGCAAGAACAGGTCCTCAAATCCAAGTCCACAATATACTATGAAATCCCACCATTGCTAACTTGAAATTTTCCTCCACTTAACCACATAGTCACACAATCACTTGCCTTTGCTTTATTAATCTCTACCTTTTTAAAAATCTTGGGGAAAATTTCCTTTGTCCAATTCTTTATTTTGTCCCTTCTACCTTGTATCCTCCTCATTAACTTACACCTAACTATCTCAAGCATGGTCAGTATTAGCTTATCTTTGCATGCCAATATGAATGAGTTGAATGACTCACACATATTATTTAAAAGCATATCACACTTCACATGAGTGCTGAAGTGTGATCGAGACAAATGCCTGGGAGGTTTTAGTCAGCCAAGCATAAGCATCCTTATCAAGGTTTTTCAGCTTTTCCATCTGTCTTGCAAACTATGGAACAGTTGTTGCTTTTGTAGCACCCCAGAATTTGTCAAACAAAGCTTTCCCTTTGAATAGTAATATGAAGTTGGTGAACAGATATCTTGCATAAAACCTGTGTTCACTATTAACAACTTGCTCAAAAGCTGGTAATAATCCTTTTTGCTTGTTTTATATGAAAGTGTATCCAAACTGGTTAACAATCTCTACATCCTTTACCAGTAATTCCAGAAACCAAAACCATGAGTCCTTGCACTCAGACTCAACCACTACATACGCAATCACCCATATTTCATTATTAGCATCTATACCAACTGCTGCTAAAAATTGCCCTCCATACACACCCTTCAAGAAGCAACCATCCAATCCAATAATGGGTCTGTATTCAGCAATGAACCCGGCTTTACATGCACCTAGGCACATATATAACCTTTGAAACACTGGATGACCTAATTGTTCATTGAAATCACATTGAACTTTGATTGTTGTTCCTGGATTGGTCTTCCTTAACTCTTCACAATAATCCCAAATTCTGGAGTATTGTTCTGTGTATATTCCCTCAATCTACCTCAATGCCCTCTCTTTTGCCCAATAAACTTGTTGCCTAGAAACTCTAGTGTTATAATCCTTCTCCACAGTCTTCATGAATAAGCTAACTGACCAACTTGGATTGCTCTTCAATGTTTCCATATAATTGGCACTAAGCCAACTAGACTTCACAGTGGGGTTCTCCTAAACAATACCACAAGTGTGTTCACTCTCATATTTCTTAACCTGCAGGGTCTTCTCACGCTGCATTTTGGAAGCATATATCTCCCATGGGCAATCTGGATCTGCACAAACTGCCTTTAGCTTGAAAGCCCCACTTCTCACAAATACAACATCCTTATTCCTTTTTATAAATTGTCCTTTGAAAGCCGATCTAAAATCTTTGCAATCACTGAACTTCATCTCAACCTCAAACTGTGGATCTGCCATGTCAGTTGCTAGATTGAACTGTGGCCATCTATCCGTCATTAAAGTGTCATCATCAGAGTCATATTTAGGTTGCACATTATCAGAATCATACTCATCTGAATCCAGTTCAACATTTGCACCCCAATCCCAAGATTTAACCCCAGCATTTGTTGATTATGGCTCTTTTCCTTTTGCCCCATCTCCAACCCACTCACTTTGTTTGTCCACCCATTCATGAAAATCGACATCATCATCATTATCATCACAACTGAAGTTAGGGTTTGCAAAATCAGAGTCAAGACTGTCTGCTGACTCCTTCTCATCATCACATACTGTGGTCCTGTTTCTTGCTTTTCTTGTCTTCATTGGATGACATCTTGATAACTTGCTCTTTTCTACACTTCCTTCAACAACCTCTTTCTCAACTACTCCCTTAATCACTGTATTGGACCTTTGGTCTTCTTTATCACGTGTCTTTTTTACATTTTTGCACCTCCTTTTTCCAAAAGCTCTTGCCTTCCTTTTCCCAAAAACATAACTGACTTTACTTTTCCCTTTGTCTACAGTGGCAGAAGATTCCCTCTCAACAACTTTTTCTTTGTCTTTTTGCACTGCAGAAGATTCCCTCTCTACTGCTTTTTCTTTGCCTTTTTCAGAAACACCCTGTCTTGCACAAGATTCCCTTGGCTTTTCTGTACCCCCACCACTTTGTTCCCCATTTGGGTCTTCATTGAGCTCTTCTATTGACACAATTGTTTTGCCTTTTTTGTTTGTTTTTTTGCATTCCACCAACAGGAACAATAGCCTCATAATTGTCATCAAGCTCCTCAATCACAACTCCTTTGTTAGGCATAATATCAGCTTCTATATCAACAAACAGATTTGATCCTGATTGACTATAAAACCAACCCTCATTACCATCAACCCCATGATATAGGAAGATGTCTATTAGCCTTGTCTCTAGTACAAATACAAGTATGTCTATGACATCTTGATCATCATTAAGCTTTGTTAGGCCACCATTATTATAGATAGGGATACTATACCATTAACTAATCACCTCATCATAGCCTAACTCCCTCACCATATTGTCTATCTCAGTCATTGACATTCTATCCTTGTCACAATAATCAAACCAAGCTACACTGCCACAAGCATAACAGTTACCACATATTTGACCACCATGGTACATTCGAATAGAAAACAATTCAGGATCACCTACATATTACATGTCCCAAACATGGGTTATTTTCAGTTAAAACATAAAAAACAACACAACACACAGTATTCAACAAAGTATTCACACATTACACAAAAACCATAACTCAATTTTTAATTATTTTCAGTTGAGGACAATTATACAAAAGGCCAAATTTTTATTAAACAACCCTTTTCACACCCTTCCACCTAACACTTTTGCCTTATTAAAAGCAGACGCTTTGACCTTATTAAAGGCAGACATTACCAGCACATGCTTAGCTTGAAGGACCACCTATGTTCGAAATCTGCAAAAAGGCCACCTATATTCGACAAAATATTTCATACTTCTCCCACTATTCCACTAAATCCTATAAAATACAACATTCAAACCAGAATAACTCATACGACCTCTAACCCATTCAACACAGATATCCCAAATCGCAAAAATTTAAACCAACTTACCGTACGAGGGATGCGGAGCGCCTAGAGCCCTGAAATCCCAACTCATTTCTTCTCACTTCTTCAAAATCATAGAACTTGTTGCCAGCTATGGAGATTTAGGATTTAGGTTAAACTGAGGTTGAGGATGAACGATGTTTTGGGGCTTTTTCTTCAGTCTTCTTCTTGCAAAGCGTGCCCAATTTTGGGCGCGATGTTCTTTTCTTTTTTTCTTTTTTTTGAATTGTCGAAATCGAAAACCGCCCTTCAACTGGCATGCCCAGAATGGTCAAAGCGCTGGTGGGGTGGGTCCCACGGGTGGCACATCAGCAGTTAACGATTGACCGTCTAGTCAACTTAACGGAAGGATGAAATTGGACAATGTTCAAAACGTCAAGGCGTAAATTGATAAAATTGATACCGTGGGGTCCAATTTGAAAATGACCATAAACCAACAGGGTGTCTCTTGTCGTTAGCCTCTTAGAAAAACATTTTTGGACAAGGACAAAGAAATGTGCCAAATGCATGTTTGATCGAATGGTCAAGATGATTTTGCATACTTACTGCAGTACAACTATACAAGTGAACCCTTTGCAATAATTACTTCACTCTTTTTTACAAGTTATATAATTATATTAGTATGGCCTCTATGAAAGTAATCAAATGCAGTGTTTATCTTTTATGTCTATGATGCAGGTCCTTACTGCTTCTCTAATTGATTGTAATTATCTTTTGCCTTTCTCCTGTATCTGATCTCCAGCCTTTTTTCCTGAGAATTACAAAGTGGCCTAATCAACTGATTATGCTCAACACGGTACTGAAACAAGTAAATTGGTTTTTTTTTCTTTTACTTTGTCAACCAGATTTAATTTAGTCCATTATAGGGGTGATATGCGACCTAATCATGGTTGCTGGGCCGCATCCTGATACTGTTACTTATACTACTCTGATGGATGCATGTTGTAAGATAAGGGAGATGGCTAAGGCACAGAGTGTCTTGCGTGAGATGCTCGATAGAGAGCTTCAACCTACAGTTGTGACATTCAATGTGCTAATGAATGGATTTTGTATGTCAGGAATGCTAGAAGATGGTGAGAGGCTACTTAAGTGGATGATAGAGAAGGGTATAGTGCCTAATGCCGGCACTTATAGTTCTCTCATGAAGCAGTACTGCATTAGAAATAATATGCGTACTACAACTTATATGTATAGGAGCAAGTGTGCTGGTTGGGTAATGCCTGATAACAACACCTACACCATTTTAATAAAAGGGCATTTTAAGGCAAGGAATATGAAAGAGGCATGGTTTAGCATAAGGAAATGGCAGGAAAGGGATTTATTCCCACAGCAAGTTGTTACAGTGCACTTATTAAGGGTCTTTTTAAGAAAAGGAAATTTGCGGAGGCAAGGGAACTCTTTGAAGAGATGCGGAGACCTGGTGTAGTTGCAGATAGAGAAACATACAGCATTTTTGTTGATATGAACTATGAAGAAGGTAACATGGACATTACTTTTGAGCTCTGTGATGAAGTTATAGAGAATTGTCTTGTGGGCAAACCCAAGAATGAAAACACGTAGCTGAATCTTGTGTGGTGCTCTATTGAGATCTTTTGGACAGAAATTGTCAGTTTTGGTTTCTCTGAACTTGCATCTCGGGTAATACCATCATGGTAAATTTTCTCAGCCCTATGCGTTTAGTATGATCCAAGAATGTTGCACAGGTTTTCTGAAATGATGATGCCGAGTTCCTAATGGTATCATTTCTAGGTTTTTTCTTCTTACTTGATGAATTTGTGCTGCCTACGTTATGAGATATATTTCGCTTTGTTATCCAGGGACCAAGATATGCATAGTACTTGGGTATCAGCATTTGATATGAATCGAAAGATAGATGAAGCTGGGCCTGTAGAGACTACACATTCCATAAACGTATCCAAGGAATCTCAAGATGGTTGTTTTGTTCAAACGTTTATCCGTTTGAATTGCATCACTGCTAAAATGATAAAAGAAGATACACCAGGTACTACTCTCCCCAGTAAAGTTGGGTATCCTGTTTGTACTTCTATATTTTGTTTTGTTTACTCTTTGGCTTTCAAGATTTGGCATGGAAGGACGTTTATTTGCGGCTTACAAATATCATTATTCTGATCTTAACTACTTTGACTATGTGCAGCATTCAATGGTAGAGTTGGAGTTAGGTGTTATGAGCAGAGAAGATGCAGGGGCGCTTGCATCCCAGAAAGAAACAACTGAAGCTACTGATTTGGAGGACCAGCTCAAGACCAAGAGCCACTAATGAGTGGGACGAATGGTGCTTGTTTGACTGAATCAATTTCGACATTATTGTAAACATAACTTCAGCATATATTAGCTAAACACTAAATTTGCGTCCCAAATGATGTGCGCACGTAATATCATCATTTTAACTTAATAAAATTACCAGCATGTATTATTTTAAATAAATAAAAAACCATGTAAGTTGATTAATCCAAAGTTGCAAACCTAATCACCACCATGTTCCACCACAACCAGTCCCGCCGCTGCTGCATCTTTATCAACAACTCACCCTACCCCAAGTCAACCTCCATGGATTCATTCAATCAGCAAAAGAGTTGTAAACAAATTTTTTGCCCAGCCGTTCGCTTCCCAATTAATTTTGGTAAACGATAAATTCTCCTAAATCTTCTCTTTAAATAAAAAATTTGATGATGGGATTTCAACCTCTTAGATTGTCTAGGATGATGGGTTGCTGTAGGTGGTTGGGATGGGGGTGGGGCGATCTCGTGGTTGAGGGGATACGGTGGAGATCAGTTTTGGGATTTCATTTGGTTAATTAAAGTTAACATTTATGCTTTAATTTTTTTTATAAATAAATTATTTGCTGGTAATTAATACATATTGGCAATTAATTGATGGTGTGTCATTTGCCACAGGGACTCAAATGTGGTGCACAAATTTAGTGTCTTTAGCATTATTCAATCAGGTAAGTGGATCAGAGTCAAACAACAAATGATAAGCAAATTTTATTAGCTGTTGGGAATTGATTCCCAAATGAATCAATTATGCGACAATTCAATAGTTGACTTGATGGGGTCAATGGGTTCCCACCACAGTGGTGGTGGATTCCTCCTCCCCCATGACACTCAGGATCGAACCCAATAAGATTTCTTTTCTCCAATGTAACTCAACAAAAAAATTTGACTTGATTTACTTAAATTTATATTCTATACTATAGAGTTCGGGTTCACTGAAAAATAATTTAAAGGTCTCTAGATAAAAGGTAAAATTTCATACATCATTTTATCGGTGTTCAAGTTTGGATTGTATTATTATTATTATTATTTTCTTTTTTTTTTACTAAAGTTAGGAAAGGGAAGGGAGAAAAACTCCCACACAATACTAATACCATGAAAATTCCAAGACCATTTAAGAGCGCACCAAAAACCTCAGTTAATCTAACTAATACTACATTTGTAAGTTTAGATTTCTTTTCAGATTAAGAAAAATACAAACAATTTGAGTGAGGATGCTTGCAAAACTACACAAAAAAAATGTGCGCGCGAAAAAAACTCTCATATCTGAGTAAACTCCAACTACCCGAAGCTTATAAATTAGTAGATTCTATGAAGTTTAAACAACAAAGCAGCAATAGCACCAGTGGTCTAGTGGTAGAATAGTACCCTGCCACGGTACAGACCCGGGTTCGATTCCCGGCTGGTGCAAAAAAGTTTCTTATATTTTGTTTTTTGGGTGTATTGATATTCCTAACACCCAAAAATTAGGATAATCCTTTTCCTATCATTTTCAACATAGTTAATTAGCATCTTCCTTTTTAATACATACAATAAACTATTTTAAATTAATTTAATTTATAAACAAAGAGATTCGAATTTGGATTCAAGAGTGTGGGTTCACTATCCGAACCAAATAACTTAATTCATATACACTAGATGTCTAGTTGGATATATTTTATACAAATTTATAAATAAACTCAATCCTAAATATGTATTTATAAAAAAAAACTCAAGCACTATTTAAACATAAAAACACACCCAAAATCAACAATTGTATATTTTTTGGGTGTGTTTATAAATGAGTTTTGAGTGTGTGTAATGAAGTGTTTTGGGTGTTAGGTTTTTTTATAATTTCATCCCCTATTTTGGATGTTTTAGTGGAACTCTCTATATTTTAACCGTCCACGTGTATATTAGAATTGAAGTCACTTGTATAGATCGGTCTTCGGGCCTCATAAATATGGGCACCTATCATTACTCCAATACTTAATTTTTCTTTCTAAAGGTAGCATAATAGCATTGACTCTGGTATGAATGCTGTAAAAATGAACCGAAAAGATGGGCTCACATTCACACTCGCACAAGAAACTTTCTCTGCGTGGGAAATGACTGGATACAAAGAAGCCACGCAGCACGAAGAGTTCAGAGTTCAAATGTCTTCTTACTTACGTGTTTTGTTCTCTGCCGCACCACACACCAACCTCCCTTCCATTTCCTTCCTTTCCTTTCTGAAATCAAATCCCAGCAAAAAGGTGAACGGACTTAAATGGTCAAAAACGCTGAAGACATCCCACCATCACTTGCATTGCATGGTACAACCGTTACCAATTTGACATTACGAGACATTAATATTTTCCTACCTTTCACACCTCTTCTTCTACCATCCACTTCAACACCTAATATGTCAATCCTGTCATTTACGTTCACACCAAACACACCACCGCCACAAGAAATATTTCCATGAAATGGAGATAACCCTATTTTGTTATTTCCGACCAATAACGCTATGATACTGTATGCGTGTGATAACACTTCCACTTAACATATCATTATTACTCGCCGTTGCAACTAAATTTTTCTGCACAGCCACATTCTAAAATCCCTACTACTTTATAAGTCCTTTCGCTTTTTACCTCCTTCATTCACACATCACCTCATTCTCATTTATAAATAAAACCCTCAACCCATCAGTAGTCTGTGCGCTTGAAAACATTTTTGAGTTTGAGTGGAATTTATTTAATCGATCATGGCCAAGAATGATTTGAAGGTTTTGGGAGCATGGCCGAGCCCATTTGTGATGAGAGCACGGATCGCTCTGAATATCAAGTCTCTGGACTATGAGTTTCTTGAGGAGACATTTGGATCGAAAAGCCAGCTTCTGCTCCAATCAAACCCTGTCCACAAGAAAATCCCAGTTCTCATTCATGGCGATAAACCCATCTGTGAATCTCTCGTCATTGTTGAGTACATCGACGAGGTTTGGGCATCGAGTCCCTCCATCCTCCCTTCTCAACCTTATGATCGTGCTACTGCCAGATTTTGGGCTTCCTATATCGATGAGAAGGTATTAATTCATGCATATATGGTTTTTTATTCAGGGCCTTCTTAATATATATATATATATATTTGTCAGATTTTGGACCTCCTGTCATGGATGTGTAATTTAAAAAATAATTTTATGCCGTAACCAACTGGATCCTACAAAAGACAAACCTTTAAGTAATTAAAAATAGGGAGTTTCACTAAAACACCCAAAATGGGGGCTGCAATTATAAAAAAACCCAACACCCAAAACACTTTATAAACACACCCAAAACCCATCATTACACACACTCAAAACTCATTTATAAACACACCCAAAAAATATACAATTGTTGATTTTGGGTGTGTTTCTATGTTTAAATAATGCTTGGGTTTTTTTATAAATACATGTCTAGGATTGGGTTTATTTATAAATTTGTATTAAAAATATCACTGGTTTACTCACATATCATACTTGTGTGACATTTTATGCCGTAAAGTCGTAGTACCGATTTGTCTCCTTATCAATGAAATATTGCCATTTATCTTCATTCTCAATGAGATTTATAACTTTTTTGGAGAATCGGATGACTCTCAACAACCACAACAATATGTAGTGTTATTAATCCACATATTAAAATATGGGTGGATAATAAAATCATAAATAAATACATGTGTTACATAATAAGTGAATTAGTAACGTTGGTAGCTACGTGACTAGTACCTTGACATCGAGTTGATGTTCACGGTTATCATGCTTGTCACCAAGCTTTGAGTGATGTTAAAAATGAAATTTTGCATGTATAATTGATTGTGAATTGGCAAATGAGATGTTGGTTTCAATAAAATAGGATTGACTCTGTATACATTGATGACTCATTTGCTTATCAATGTGTCACATTTTCTTGTAGTGGTTCCCGGCCATGAAAGGCATTGCTGCTGCTCAAGCAGAGGAGGCGAGGAAGGCGGCAATCGAGCAAGTGGCTGAAGGGCTGGCGCTATTGGAGGATGCCTTTCAGAAGACTAGCAAAGGAAAGGACTTCTTCAGTGGAGACAAAATTGGGTACCTTGACATTGCATTTGGGTGCTTCTTGGGGTGGCTCAGAGTGACAGAGAAGATGAATGGGATCAAATTGCTGGACGAATCAAAGACACTAGGGCTGGCCAAATGGGCTCACAAGTTTTGTGCAGATGCTGCTGTGAAAGATGTTATGCCTGAGACTGAGAAGCTTGCCGAGGTTGCTAAGATTATTACGGCCAAATTGAGAGGTGCTGGTGCTCCCCCGAAATAATGAATATTCTAATTGTCATCTTGTGTGAGTCAGTGATTAATTAGTCGGATATGTTAGGCAATATGCTATAGTATAAGCTCATAGACTCTGGTCTATTTTGTTTTATGTCCGTCTTTTTATGTGCATGTGATGTGATGCGAAATAAATCATGACCTGCTTCAGCAGTTCTTGTTTTTAAATTGTATTAATTTTAATTGATCACATCCACATAGAGAACACTTTTTGCATTGCATATCAATTGTAATTTTGTTTTTATCTTTTGGTATTTTGTTTTTTTTGGGTACTCCAAACTTCACGAGAAACATTTTGTAAATCTAAATAAATAAAAATTAAAACAAGGAGAAAAATTACCTAAATCAAGAATTAATACCACAGTGAACAATTAATTTGAACTACGTTACAGGAATTCTCCATACTAAATTAGTAAAATGTTTAACAAATTTAAGTGAACTTTGTAAAGGTTACTTTTGACTTTGTAGCAGAACTATCATTAGAACATCAGGTAACTATCTGAAGCAGAAGTGAGATATTGAGGGAGATGATGGCTCTGGTGATTTCTTCCAGATAATGTCGTCTACACAATTCTAACTGATGGTTTCTGTAAGATGGGACATATTCAAGCTGCATGTAGGCTGTTTGACGAAATGCGGCTTAGGAAAGTTATCCCTGATTACACAACATATACTCTATAATTAATGGATTTTGTCAGACAGGAAAGATGACAGAAGCAGATTGTCAGTATGGGGCTTAGCCCAAACGTTGTCGCTTATACGCACATATTTCTCATATTTAATACACGTAATTTTACAAAGACTTCAATAAGACACACACAATTCACGTATTATACACCTAATTCTCACATATTATTGAATAAAAATAAAATATATTAATATAAAAATAGGCTATACTCATTTTTTGTCTAATTGTTTTTTTAAAATAGCATAGTTGTGTGGTTATACACTTTATATATATATATATATAAATAGTATAGCCACACGACATTACTTGTTTGACATGTGGCACCAAAGCGTTGGACGCATCCTTTTTTTTTAGTATATATAAATAATATAGCCGCACTGCTATATTGTTTAAAAAGGAAATTTAATCTAGAAATTTTGCCGGCATAGACATGTCCGACGAACTTTCGGGAGAGGGTTTATTTATTTATTTATTTATTTATTTTTAAGTTTTAAAAATATAAAATTAGTTTCTTTACTTTTGTTTTTTGGCCTTCTTCTTTAATTTAATATATGTAACTAAGTAATATCTTAGCCTTTTTAAATTACTTTAATTAGTAATTATATTTGAGTTATTATTTAATATATAAAAAATTAAAGAAAAAGTCCACAAAAGAATTAATTTTTATTTATTAAGTCTTTTGTGAAATCGTTTGGGTATCTTAATTAAATTTCTCCAAAGTCCAAGAGCCCTATCCATTACTATTAGGCCATTACTAGAGTATCTATTGTCCTTTTTTTTTAATTTTTTTTTACCTTTCTAGAGTTATTACATGTATAAAGATTTTAGCACTTTCACGTTGAATAATAACATGTATGCACATATTTCTCATGTTTAATACATGTATTTTTTACAAATATTTCAATAAGACACAAAATTTACATATTATACACCTAATTCTCACATATTATTGAATAAAAATAATATATTTTTTAAAAAGGTATAGCCGCACGGCTATACTCAGTTTTTTCTAATTGTTTTTTAAAAATAGTATAGCCGCACGGCTTTTAAAAAGAAAATTTAATCCGTTAAATTTCGCCAACATAGTCTTGTGCTGACGAACTTTCATCGGAAGAGGTTTTTATTTATTTATTTATTTATTAAATTTAAAAATATAAAATTAGTTTATATATAAATAGATCACATTTATATTTTTGCAGGAAGGGCCTTCAACTTTATGTCGTCTTTACTTACAACTCAATTGTAAATGGCCAGGTTGCTGGTCCTCTGACACTAGTTGTGATCTATTTATTGATTGGTCAATATGGAAATGTAAGTAGCAAATATGTATTATGTATACTGAATCCAACCGAGATCTGTTGAAACTTGCTATTTCCCACGAGATATGCATTTGAGTGGGCAATCAATTATCACTATATTTAAATATAATTATGTGCATGTGAGATTTGGGTAGTTTGACAATTATTTTCTTTTGATGTTATCAATAGATGAATGAACCCCTAATCTTATTTCATCAACTATGAATTATGAAGTTGTTCATTATGAGGGTCTAATTGCAATATTTATTGCATTTTCCTGGGCCTTCATTTTCTATTTTGAGCTAGCATAACTAAATGTGCACTGCATACCAATAACATGTTTTTTTTTCTTTGAAGTCTGAAGAATAAAATGTTCTTCTGAGTGCTCATTGTGCTCAAGCTTCTTTGTTAAAACCATGGTCCCCCTAAATTAGGTTTGGAAAAATTCAATCATCGGTCTAAGCTTATGTGAGTTTTAGTTGCTGTTAATATGAATTTTCACATCAAATTTCACTTTACTTTGGCCGGGTGCAGCTGTCTTGGCAGAGTTGGAGTGTTAAGTGTATGAGCAGAGAAGAAGATAGAAATAGAGGAGCACTTGCATCCCAGAAATTCAACAACTGAAGCCTATTTGGGAGGAAAAATATTGCAATAGAACCGCTTGAAGGGCCAACTTAAGGAAGACCAATAGCAATAGCCAGCCAACGATGAGTGGTGCTTGTTTGACTGAATCAAGAGATCGACATTAATGTAAACATATAAAGTGTATGCATATCAGCTACGTGGATCAGAGTGAAAGAACCGCTTCAAGGGCCAACTTAAGACCAAGAGCCAGCCACCGATGAGTTATGCTTAAATATTGGCATCTATATCTTCATTTAATGAGATTGGTAACTTTTGTAGAGTGTCAGCTGACTCGCACCAACCACAAGCACAACACAGTATGTATTTTTGTTACAATGAGTGAATTGATAATATTGCGTGACGAGTACACATTGACATTGAGTTTGATGTATCACGGTCCTCATGCTTGTGAGACCAAGTGATGAAGCTTTATGAACTGAACTTAAAAATGGAACATTGATTGTATATTGATTGTGAATTGGTAAATGAGACATGTTTGTTTTTTATGACTCATTCGCTTATCAGTTTGTCGCATTTTCTTGTAGTGGTTCCCGTCCATGAGAGGCATTGCTGCTGCTCAGGGAGAGGAGGCGAGGAAGGCGGCAATCGAGCTGGCTGAGGGGCTGGCGCTGTTGAAGGAAGCCTTTGAGAAGACTAGCAAAGGAAAGGACTTCTTCAGTGGAGACAAATTTGGGTATCTTGACATTGCATTTGGGTGCTTCCTGGGGTGGCTAAGAGTGACAGAGAAGATGAATGGCCTCAAACCGCTGGACGAAACAAAGACACCAGGGCTGGCCAAATGGGCTCACAAGTTCTGTGCAGCTGCTTCTGTGAAAGATGTTATCCTCTGGTTGTTTTTTTTTGGATACTCCCAAAGTTTGATGGTGGTTGTCTGTCATGGAACAGATCCAAACTTCACTACAAACGTTCTGTAAATCTAAATAAAAAAGAAAACAATAAGGAAAATATCACAATGAACAATTAATTTGAAGTAGATTACAGTGGTATTCCTTTACATGAAAGTTATTCTGAAAAACAAGGCCTCCAGTGAATTTTCCATGCTAAAATGTTAACAAATTTAAGTGAACTTTGTAAAGGTTACTTTCGACTTTGGACAATGTTAAGAGTCAAAAAATGTGAATTGACTTAATGACTTTAATTTTCCGGCCTACCCTTCAAACATGCATCCACCAGTGCACCTAACTAATGTCGTTGCACGCATTGACACCAAACTCACCACAGCCACTTTTCTAAGCCATACTTAACAATCCATGGTTGTTTAATTCATCCCACCACGCACACTAAACACAAAAACTCAGTGTTCGATTAAAAGCTTCGAGTGTGAGTTGTGAGAGATTGATCGATCATCATGGCCATCACCAAGAGCGACGTGAAGGTCCTGGGAATGTGGCCGAGCCCATTTGTGATGAGGGCTCGCATCTCCCTTAACCTCAAATCTGTCGAGTATGAGTTTCTTCAAGAGACATTTGGATCGAAAAGCCAGCTTCTCCTCCAATCCAATCCAGTCCATAAGAAAGTCCCGGTTCTTATTCATGGTGACAAACCCATATGTGAATCTCTTGTCATTGTTGAGTACATTGATGAGGTTTGGGCCTCCGGCCCATCTATTCTCCCTTCCAACCCTTATGATCGAGCCACGGCACGATTTTGGGCCGCTTATGTCAGTGAGAAGGTAAATTAGCTATTGTATAGGAAGCACTTGTACTCATAAGCGTTTTGAAAAGAATATTGTTACAATGTTTTTTACTAATTAATGTTTCTTGGTTTAAATGTGGGTGGCAGTGGTACCCATCATTGAAAGGCATAGGTGCAGCACAAGAAGAGGAGGCAAAGAAGGCAGCAGTGGAGCAAGTGGAAGAAGGGCTGGCCTTGCTGGAGGAAGCATATGAAAAGTCCAGCAAAGGAAAGGACTTTTTTGGTGGAGATGAGATTGGGTACCTTGACATTGCGTTTGGCTGCTTCTTGGGGTGGCTCAGAGTCATAGAGAAACTGAATGGGGTCAAGCTGCTGGACCAGACAAAGACACCAGGGCTGGTCAATTGGGCTGACAAATTTTGTGCACATACTGCTGTGAAAGATGTCATGCCTGAGACTGATAAGCTTGCTGAGATTGCTAAGATTCTTGCGGCCAAATTGAGAGGGGCAGCTGCCCCTCCCAAGTAATTACCAATTTCAAGGATAAATAACTTACTATAGCCTTGGCCTATTTTATGTCTCTATTTTATGTTCTGAATGTTACATAGAGAACATATTTATCCTTATTTTCGTTTTTATTTTTATCTTTTAAATAACCATTGTCAATTGATACTTTGAACTTTTTAGCACTGTGAGGGCCTTATATATGACCCTTAGGTGAGACTCTATCTTTTAACCGTTGAATTAGATTAGTCAGTCGTTGAATTAAATTAATTAGCCTGATCCAACAATTAAAATATAAGACCTTATCTAAGGGTCGACCGTCACTATAGAATTCTTGGTTGAAAGTGAACTTAACTTTTGAGTTACAAATTACAATTGGGCTCAAGGCCCAAAACTACCAACTTGAACCTTGTTTAGGCCCAAAACTGCACTTACAACCAGTCCATTTCAAAGCAAAATTACATAAACCATTTTTTCACTTAAAAACAGAAAACAAAAACGAAATCATATTTACAGATCATGATTTATGCACAGGCGACGTGGGCTTTGCTGTTGTGTCCACGGTGATTAAAAGTATCAGATCCAAATGTTATGTCCCTACCTTACTCGAACCGCATAAGGCATCTGACAACAGAGAAAAGAGATTAGGCGCCGATGCTATAACATTAGACTATCCACCAAACCACTGCGACAGTTGACAAAGACCTTCGTCATATTTTATGTTATGATCACCCATTTGCAAATTATACAGCCAAAAAACTAAAACCCAGTTTCCTTTGAAGTCACCGCCATTGTTTTGGCTAAGAAAAACACTGTTTTTTTAAGCAACAAGCTACTGATTCAAAGAGGTGAGTAGATTTTGCTCATAAGAAAAAAAGAGGTGAGTAGAGTTGGGAAATGGTGGGAGGAGTGAAAGTTGACAAATGGGGCTACGAGGTGAGGACCTCTTCAGACGCTTGCATATCTGCCATCGACGATTTCTATGACCAGGCATGTCGTAATCTCCTTTCTTTTACTCAATTTTTCTGTTTCTATTGGTTTTGTATGTCAAAAGTTGAGATGGGTACTGGGATTTTTGGTGAATGAGTGAAGGTGTTGAGTTATGGGAGACATAGGTCGGTGATATTGGAGGCACCGTCACATGACAAGGACTGCGTGCTTGCTAACATTTTGGCTGCCCATTTTCTCTGCTCCTCTGATCCTTCTCGAGCTCCCTGTCATCTCCAAGCCGCCAAGTCTCGGCTGGTAAGCTTGTTTGAAGTTGAAAAATTTGAAATCTTTTGTTAATTAACCTTGGAGAGGTGTAATGGGCAATTTGTTATGCACAGGAACAAGCTACTCAATACGAGAAAGCAGTTTTTGACGCTGTCAATTGTTTGATTTCTGCGAATAGAGATGATGATGTTGCTGTTGAGTTGCATTCTAAGGTGGGCCACTACCCACCCTCTTTATTAGTGGGGATTTTCCTTTCTTGATGTGCATACCTATTTACTTGGTTTCCTACCACAGCTTTTAAATTGTACTTTCTCCACAATTTTCACACTCCATGTTAACTATTTAGTCAGTCATGCTGTTATTCATTGCAGATGATCTAGAAATGTACTTGCCCACCTTTAGTTTGGTTCTACTAATCTGTATAAATATTTCGGATCATTGCCTCAAACTATAAACTTTTTTCACTTCAATGCCAATTTAGTTTTTTACAGATTGCTCAATCACTTTCCTCATAAAACTTGCTGTGCCGTAATGATTTAGAGACATCTTCTCATATACAATTTCTCTTAATGAATTGCATAACCGATAGGAACAAGATAGAAAGAAAAAAAAATATCATCCTGAACTCAAGACATGAAAAGCTGTTAATGAAGCATAATCTTGCTCAGTTGTTTTTGACAATGTTTTCAAATGCTTGTTTCCCCTTGTTCATCTATATAAATAAAATGGAATGGTCCATAGCTGAATTTCTTATATTCCCGATTTTGGTACTAATGGTAAATAGTATAGGAGTAAATACTGTGCAGTTTAAGTGTTTCGTATAAGCTTCAGTCTCCAGTACTTCAATATAAGTTTAGTCTTTTATTGTTCTATAGGCTTTGTTCATTAAATTTCATTTCGTTTATTTTTGCAGCTCTTGAAAAGTTTCCCTAAAGATTTGGTCTCTCTGAAAAGGGCCCAAGTGCTCTGCTTCTACATGGCTCGACCTGATCTGTCATTGGATCTTGTTCAACAGGTTCATTTCTATGTTGAGGATGTGTGAAGTTTATACCTTCATTGAACATACTGGAGAATACTTAATTTTTTTACCCACCATGTTTGCATGAATTATTGAACAATTTCAACCAAAGGATAATAGTTTATGACTTAATAGAAACACACATTGTCTGGGGTTTTGAGCATTTTAAGATATTAGTGGAACCTTTTTTGGTGGGAATCCTTGTTTTGTTTTCTTGTTTGTCATGTAACAATCTGCTAACAGGTTCTACCCTATAATGAACAAGAAAATTACATATATGGCATGCTTTCGTTTCCTTTATTGGAACTTGGCCAAATGACAGAAGCTGAGAAAGCTGCAAAAAAGGGATATGAGATCAACAAGCAGGACTGCTGGGTGCACCATAACGTGAGTTATAATGATCTAGTTTGCTTTTTATCACTATCTGCTGGTTGTCACAAGAAGTTTCTAATGCTTAAGTTCTTGACTCATTGTCGTAATTCATGTGTTCTTAATTTGTTATGCAGTTGTGCCATGTTCTTCAGTATGATTGCCGTTTTAAAGAAGCAGTAGAGTTTATGAAAGAGTGCTCATCCTCATGGGATTCTTGTTCGTCATTTATGTACGCACATTTAATTTATTCAAATTTAAACTTTTTTTTTCTCTTCACTTGATATTTAGATGCTAAGAAGTGTTACGATTATCAGGGTCACACACAATTGGTGGCATGTATCTCTTTGTTATTTAGAAGGCCATTCTCCAATCCAAACAATCCTAAATTTATATGACCATTGTATCTGGAAGGAGTTGGAGAAACCTGATGCTGCATCTCCAGAGGTTTATTTCAAGTATTTTTGACATGACCAGCTCTTTTGCATCTTTCATTCCTTACTTCTTGTTCAATTAGGTGTACTTGAATGCCCTTGGGTTGTTGTTACGCGTGCATGTCCGGGGTGAAATAGATTCCTTTGAGGACCGTTTGAAGACCCTAGCAAATTGCGTGACAGATCAAGTAAGTTACAGAACATGACCCCTATTCCCTACCAATCTTACATGTAATATGATTCCTAATGCCTCTGTAATTGAGATTTCTAGAAATCTGCAATTTGAGGGGATGTTTAAACCTCAGTTTCTGTTCAATTTCGCAAGAAGTGTGCTTGTTTTGTAGCAAAGAATAGAAGATCTGAGAATTACGAAATACACCTGTTAATAAATATGGCCGGTATAATGTGTCAAGGGTGAATATTTATTACTTTTCCGGTTCATAGATTTGGAAAAAGAATATATATGGACTTGTAGCTATTATCCCAATGCTAGCTCTCTAGGTTATGTATGCTTCATGTGCTGTTAATTATTGTCTCTCTCTTAATCTAGTTCTGTTATCTGAATGTGCTCCACTTTGTTCAGGCCAACTGGTATTTAGAGTGGCATCTTGATGTGTTAATTTTATGGGCCTTGGCTAATACTGGTGAGATTTCAAAGGCAGAAGATTTGCTCAAGGGCTTGAAGTCCAGGTTAAAGGATCCTTCCACTCTCAACCACATTCTTAACGTTATCTGGCAATGTATTGATTGCTAGTCTGTTCCTCATGTAGGATTGCTGAGATGAAGAAGAAGAAGCAACAGCTAATGCAGAGACCAATACAGGTTTGTTCTGATTGTGACCTCTTCAGTAATTTTTATATTGGAATCATTATTTATTCTTTGGTTCATTGTTTCTGCATTGCCTCTTCAAAAGGTACCTTTATATGTGCATTGGTCACATCACACTGCCTACTGAATCTTCCTCATATGGGGACCCAGGCATTGAACTTTTTATGAGCACTAAGAAGTTGTGTTATTACTTTTACCCAGGACTTTTTCCGTAATACTGTCAACGAATAGAATGATTTAGAAACTATGATTGCTACAGTTCGGGTTGGCATTAGAGATAATAGAGGCATCATTTCATTGAAAAATACAAGAGCCATGATTCTTACCACTTTAGAACATATTCTAGCATCAATTTGAACTGCTTTCCTATTGAAGTTGGGGGCATCTTCACAATATCATTGTTATCAGCTTGCAGAAGCCTTGTACGAGTATGGGAGGGGTAATGAAAAACAAGCATTGGAATTGCTCGGTCCTGACTTTGATGCTGATGAGTGCAAGGTATTAACATTAAGAACTGATTTGCTTGTCTTAATCTGGCCTATTTTCACGTAGATGAGCATTAAAGAATTAATGTCTACTTACTATCATGCAAGATGATTGGAGCCTCAGGTGAACAGCTTGATATATTCAATGAAGTCTGGTACTGTATGTTGCTTAAAAATGGACAAGCCACAAAAGGTATGGTATATGCTACTCTTTTGCCATCAAACCTCCCGGTGGTTTTGTTTCTGACTTGTGTCCGAATTCTAGCAATCGAAGTGATTGAGAAGCGGATCAAAACAAGAGAAGGGATCCCTTTCCTTTGGCGCCTGCTGGTATATATCTCTGCTATACTAGAAGATGTTTTTAGCTTAATAATTTTATATTTGAATACGAGCTCTAGGACCGTTCTCTGTTAGAACAGTTGCATTTAAAGGAGTGTGTTTTGCTTGCAGGAGAGGGGCTATAAACTGACAGGCAGGGAGGAGGCTGCAATTGCAAGTGAGAAAGCCAAGCTTTTGGAGACTGCATATTTCCCATAACCAGTAAGATCACAGCCAGCGAAATCAAGGTGTCGTGCATGTAATGTAACAAACAAGGACACAAGCAAATTTCCACATCTTGTAACACGAACAAATATGTACATTTGATGTTCAAATAAAATCAGTCTAAAGTTTCCTTAACTTGGAAACAATTTATGTTTTTCTCTTCTGCATCAAAATTCAAAGTAAATTCATCCTTCTTTGGTTTGTTTTAGTGAGATGAGCACTTGGCATGAACGAAACGCCAAACTTCGATTTTGAATATTGGAATTTATGATACACAGTAAAAGCCAGAAACTGGAAAAAAAACAAAAAACAAAAAACAAAAAAAACACAGTTCTTAAAGTAACCAAACAGATCTATATTCACATTCTATCTAGTCGACAGTCTTTTTCTGCGACGCAAAAACCTTCTTCTGAGAGCTGAGATGAGACACAACACAAACACTCTCTCTCCCTTTCACTTTCGCTTGTCAGTCAAACCCCGCACATGTGCGTCTGACCCCACACACGCACACCCGCACACCCGCCCATCAAATCAATCAGTCTTTCGCCACCTCATCACCAATCAAATTCGAACTCGAAGCCCGGCTCATCCCACGTGTACGGCTCCTCATACGCTTCAGCTCCTCTACTACTTCCCTGGCATCTGGACGGTCGTCCTTATCCGCCGCCACGCACCTGAACGCCAGCTCAGCCGCCACATCAACGCCGTCGATCACATTTCCATCGACTATCAAAACCGGGTCGACCACCTGATGGAGCAGACCCATCTGGATCTTGGACACCACCAAATCAGCCAACGCCAGCTCCCTCTTGTCCCTCCTCTGGTCCACCGCTCTCAACCCGGATATCAGCTCCAGCAACACCACCCCGAAGCTGTACACGTCACTCTTGTCCGTCAACCGGAACGACCGGTGGTAATCCGGGTCTAAGTACCCGGGCGTCCCTTGCGGGCCGGTCCAGACATACCCGGACGTAGACGACGACGTTTCGGGAAACACTAATAGCCTGGACAGCCCAAAGTCCCCAACTTTGATCCTCATGTCTTTCTCCACGAATATATTCGACGACGTTATGTCTCTGTGCACCACCGGAGGCACCACCGAGAAATGCAAGTACTCCATAACCATAGCTGTTTGCAGAGCAATGTCGACCCTCACCTGCCACGTCAGAGACCCTTTACGGTACAAGCTCTTCGGGCCGTGAAGGTGGTCGGCGAGAGTTCCATTAGGGACGTAATCGTAGACCAGAACAAGGCCTCTTGGATCGCTGCAATAGCCGTGGAGTTTGACCAGGTTTGGGTGGTCAATCGAAGAGAGTATCAAGATTTCGTTGCAGAAGCACTTGTTGGAAAAGGCTCGACCAGAGGCGGCGCCATGGTGGGGCTTGTGGAGATACTTCACGGCCACGACCCGCCCATCGTAGAGCTGACCCAGATACACTGACCCGAACCCGCCGTCTCCGATTTTGCGCTTCGGGTCGAACCGGTTGGTGGAGGATTCGAGCTCTTCGTATGTGAAGACTGGTGGGAGAAGACTAGCCGAGCGGTGGCGATGGAGGAACAGGGTTGTTGGGTCTTCTTCTGTGGCAGAGGAGCTTAATCTTCTGGACCTGAAAATGGCTATAAAGACTGAGACAATGACTAGGAAACAAGCCAATGTGAATACAGAGGACAAGATGGCGATTCGATTGGGGCTGTCTTTGCTAATCCATGGTGGTGAAAAGCTAGGCCTGGGGTGAAAACAGAGGAATTGCTTCTCTGGGTCAGAGGAATTGAAGCCACAGAAGCCATTGTTGGCCTGACAATCTCTGCAGCTGGAAAAGTAAGAGTCTTGAGCTTCGTCCCACTCAAGCTCGATCCCCCATTTGAGGAAATTGTCGAGAAAGCCCAAGACATCGCCTTGGCAGCCCTGCGCTGTAACGGGGCGGTGTGGAGATCCACAGTCATGGAGAAGCTTGAGTGGGTTTTTGATGAGCTTGCATTCCCAAGGACAATGGCTGCAGTTGGGAAGAGTTGGAGGGGAGCAAGGTTTGAGAACGGAGAGCCGAGAACAAGAAGCGTCGGAGATTCGGAAAGGCGAGGCAGAGAGGTTGATGGAGCGGTCGGGGATGGAGAGAAAGTGAGGGAACGAGCAGTTTGTGTCGGCTGATTTTGTAAGTGAGCTTGTTGAGTTGGTGATGTGAGGGGAGAGAACAAGTGAGGTGGAGCTGGGTTCGTAGCGAAGGAGAGAGAAAGAGAAGTTATTGATGGAGATGGTGGAATGAGGAGCAGAGCATTTGATTTGAAAGGAAGGGTGGCCACAGCCAGGTAAAGAAGAGAAAGGAAAGGGAGGTGGTGAAGTGAATGGTGGACATGAAATGTGGAGGAGGAGGAGGCCTCTGGTTTTGAAGAACATGAGTGGGTGGCTGTGGAAACTGAGAAGATGGTCAGTAGGAGGAAGACAAGGGCTGCTGAGAGAGTGGTTGAGTTTGGTGGAGGCATGGATGGGAATGGAAATTGGAATGTGGTGAATGAGAGAGTGCAAAGAGTGTAGTTTTAGAAGTCATGAAAAGATAAAAATGAGATCTCGAAACGAATTGAATCTGATGTAGAGGAGGGAGGAGGGTCACGTGAAGCAAGGTGGAGAGAAGACAAAAAAACTCGAAAGGGGTGGTTGGACGAATGGCGATCGAGGTCTGAGTGGAAATATTTATAAATATTTATTTACCTCTTTGTTCCTATTTTCATAGATTTCTTACCTGTTTCTCTTCTTTTCCTTTTCTTTCTTCTATTCTCTTTCAATTGCAGCAGTCATAAATGCTTTTACTTTTTTACTTTTTAGGGTGTAATATCACATTCATACTACTTTAGCTTTCTGGGTCTGAAATTACTTTGGTAAGCTACTTCTTCTGTATTTTTCCTCCACCATTATTGAGCTTTATGGTTGAGGTTGTGGTCTTTCCCTGTCAACATATATTCGTTGAGTAATCAATTATAAGTTTTTTGGTCGGAGATTAATGAATTACTAGCCCCTTCGCAAGCATGTGCCAATTGGTTTTATTTTTTATTTTTTATTTTATTTTTAGAATTAAGAAAAGATAACATAAATAGTTATGTTCTATAAAAGTAGAACTTATTATTTGATTTTATTTTTAATTTTAATATGAAAAAAATATGAATTTATCATATTATTCTTATTTAATTAATAATTTTAATTCTTAATATTTGAATTAATCAAGAATATTTTCTAGTATTTTCAATTGTTTGTTTTCTTATTGCTTGTGTTGACTGGGGAGACTAAAAACATAGAATAGCCTTTTTCTCTTTTCTTTTTTCTTTTTTTTAAATTATAGTTGTAAGGGGCCCCAAGACCAAAATGAGCATGGAAATTATAAAAAGCTCGTCGATTTGTGGGAAATAATATAAAAACAATTATCTTCTGTACTTGGTTACATGCAGCCGTGCAGTAGCAGAGCATAGGGGTCTCCGCTTTGAACATCAAGCAAGCTTTAAATCTTTTTTTTTCTTTTTGCCCTCGCTACTGTTTTGTTGAAGTTAAGGCCTCAAGCCCAGATGTATGAATTGATGTTGTCTTGAAGACCCATCGACACCAATGCATGGCCCATGAAAAACGTCTTTGTGGATTGGTACAGCTGAGCTCAAGAATTCTATTGTGACGAGGGAATGAGGTCTTATCTCTTAACTGTTGAATCAAATTAATTAATTTGATTTAACGATTCATCAATTTGATGTAACAATTAAGAGATATGACATCATCTAAGGGCCTTAAATAAGACCCTCATTATAGAATAACTCGAGCTGAGCTTCAATTTGTTTTGTGCTTTGTCTACAATTTATTTATTTTATTTTATTTTATTTTTAAATTGGTGCTATCATTTAGAGTCACAATCGGTTTGACCTTGTACGCTCACGCTTGGTGTTGTATGTATTGTATTTTACTGAAATTGTCACTGCGACAATCAAGGACTTGAAAAAACCAACGAGTTTTAGCATGAGAGTGGCCAATTTTGCGTAAAATAAAATAAATACGAGAAAGATAATTAAGTGATATTCTATATATATTTTTGTAGAGTACGCCGGCCTAAAACCGTTTCATCCTGATTTGATATTAAAATATATTAAAGTAGTTTAAATTATCGCTTGTATAAAAAAGAACAATATATTAGATATCATTATTTCCAGTTAAAACATGTAGGTTCATAACCTCTCAAGTGACAAATTTAAGAGGATTTTCACTCATTTAATACATTAATTGTATTTGTTTCTAGAGACGAAGAAATTCATTCATGAATTGGTGCATGTAAATCAATCCCCCTTTTTTATTCCTTTTTCTTTTTTTTTGTGGTGGAGGTAAGTTCAGTCTTCGTTTGACAGAAGGAATTAGAAGCAAGCAAGGGCATGTACCATCGGTCCACTAACATGAGCTTCTAGACGACACGACAACACCCTCGGACGCGTTATGTCTCACGAGCATGCCAAGACAAATCATCCCCCTATTTAGTCACGGAGAAATGCTTGTGTGCAACACGAATAATGTTTTATTATTTTCGATCAATTAAGTTATGTCAAACGTTTCTACTTGGCATAACATAATTAGCTATAAATAACAAAACAGTGTTATCCGTGTTTAACAAAACAGTGTATATTCTTGGACTCAATTAATTGTTTCCACCAGGAAACTTCATCATCTTCCTCAGTCAATTAACAAAGTCCCAGATCGTCATTTCCTTCTCATCTTCTGCTCTCGCCATCATGCCAATTTATAATATTATTATGACTTCATCGTCAATGTGTGAACAAGTTTAATACCAACAAGCAATTTCCAAACAAACCAACCTTTTCCAAATCACATCAATTTCTCAATTTTTTTATTCTTACTAAAATCCCACAACTATAATCAATTTCAATCATCTTCATCACTCTCAACTTGATCATTCATCTTGATCATCACCATGGAGTTCTTCAACACCGCCAAGGCCGTCAAGCTCCGCAGCCACCTCGACAAGTACCTCGTCGCCGACGACAACCAAGAGTCCGTGCGCCAGAGCCGAAACGGCGCCTCCCGAAAAGCCCGCTGGACAGTCGAACTCGTCGACAACAAATCCCACGTCGTCCGCCTCAAGAGCTGTCACGGCCTCTACCTCTCCGCCGCCGACCACCCCTTCCTCCTTGGCATGACAGGCAGAAAAGTGCTCCAGGCGGAAGCCGACAAGAGCATGGACTTCAAGTTCGAGTGGGAACCCATACGCGACGGCTTTCAGCTCAAGCTTCGGACGTGGTGCGGCAAGTACTTGCGCGCCAACGGTGGGCCGCCGCCATGGAGGAACGCCGTCACTCACGACGATCCTACCACGGCCTCCACCCAGAACTGGATTTTGTGGGACGTCATCCAAGCCGAGGTCCCGGCTTCGGAGTATCTCACGGATTTTTTACTGTCGCAGCAGTCGAGTTTCTCGTCGTTTTCTGATGAGCTTAACGGGTCGGAGTACGGGTCGCCCGTTTCTGTTTTTTCGACAAAGTCGCCTAGGCTGCTGTCTCCGACACCGTCTTCAAATAAACTCGCTAAGCAGGTATGTCTTTAATGTTTATTGTTTTTTTTTAAATAATTATATTATTAGTTTGATAATTGAGTAATTAAGAAGCTTCATTTGTTAATTGTTATTGATTGTTGATTGATTCTGCAAAGGCAAGGTAGTAGAGGAGAACAATTTCTCTACTTCCATTTCATTGCACCTTTTTCCTTATTTTTCTCCATGTGTTAACTTATTAGGATACGAGAAAGAGAATTAGATAAGGAAACAAAAATAGGGAAGTTTTTCTCGTGGCAGAGGCTTATAGGTTTGGTGTTTGGATTAAATTGTGGTCATGATTTTAGGCATGGAAAGTGTTTGACAAGCAAGCAGTGTATTGATGTCTTAATTGGGTATGCATGTACACTTCTAAATGCGTAAGTAAGGAATCTATAAAGTATGATAAACCTTATTTCAGTGGGAGGACTTTTCTCACCACTTTAATTCAAGATGTATGCTAATTATTTTTCTCAACACTTGACACGTGTCTTTAAGTATAACTATAGTTATATAAATCAAAGCAAAAAGTTAACCATAATTATATCTATAGACACGTGTCAAATATTAAGAAGAGTGATGATCATACATCTTGAGTTAAAGTGGTGAGCAAAAATATCACACGCAAATTCCTTTTGGGAGTGGGAGCTTGGTGTTGATTTATTATGAGAAGAAAGTAGAAAGAAAACGGACCTACTTCATTTTAATCTTCACAAATATAATATGAATCTTACTTTGTGGTTGAAAATGAAAAGGTTAACACAAAATGTGAGAATTGTATATTCTAGAAGCAAAAAGATGGAAGCTATCGAATTTGCCTTTTGTTAGTAAAATATTGTTTCCAGGTTGCAATTTTTCATCTCTTTTGTTTGTTTGTTTAATTACAATGTTGCAGAATGATCCTTTGTCTCCTTATTTGGCTGGTTATTAGAGATATTTTTGTATGCAAACTGCACACCAACCCTTACGCACTACAACTTTAATGGGCACAGAGAGTGGACACAAAAAACCGCACTACTTTAAACAAACACAAGACATTTTCGTCATAAAAAAACATTATTGATTGGATTTCACCATTTTGAACTTGATGTAGTTATACATCTTTGTCATATCTTTGCACTACTATAATGGGAGTGGACCATTCTACCCTCATATGCAAACACGTAATCACCAGTTGTTATCAAAACTATAAATACACAGAAAAGCAAGGTAGTACTGGTAGATGGATCATACCTGTTTTCAGTTGTGATGATTTTGATGTATAGAACAAACAAATTTAAATAACTTAATAAGCAATAAATGGGCTCGGCCCAGGCCCATGCATGCAGTGGGCCCATCATGGCCTCCCACACGGAACCTGCTACGAAGAAACCAGGCCACGTAAGTGCCACATACACAGAACCGCGTTGTCCTAACTCGGCTGTGTGATGGCGCTGACTAGCCTTTGTCGTAGCTCAGAAGCAATACAAATACAAATGCAAGGATAGGATTTCTCATCCGCTTGCGTGTCTCAATCCGAAACTGAAAAATCCCAATTAGATTCAACATTTTTCCTTCTCTGAGTTAAAATCTTCAACTCTATTTTTTCTGTTCCGATCAGACCAATTCGAACAAGTTCAGAATCGGCATGAACCTCTTCCAAAACGCCAAGGCGGTGCGCCTCCGCAGCCATCACGACAAGTACCTCCTAGCCGAGGAGGACGAAGAGTCCGTGACCCAAGACCGAAACGGGTCATCCAAGAAGGCCCGATGGACCGTCGAGTTCGTACCCGAATCCGATACCATCATCCGCCTCAAGAGCTGCTTCGGCAAGTACCTCACCGCCTCCAACCAGCCCTACCTGCTCGGCATGACCGGCCGGAAAGTGCTCCAGACTCTGCCCCGGCGGCTCGACTCCTCGGTGGAGTGGGAGCCCATCAGAGAAGGCACCCAGGTCCGGCTCCGGACCCGGTACGGCAACTTCCTCCGAGCCAATGGAGGCCTGCCTCCGTGGCGCAACTCGGTGACCCACGACATTCCTCACAGAACCGCCACTCAAGATTGGGTTTTGTGGGATGTGGATATCGTCGAGATTCATATTCAGTCTCCGGTGCATAAACCTTCGGCCCCACAGCCTCTTCCCCATTCCGATTCCCTGGAATTCGATTGCAGCTCCCCTTCTGCTCTTTCGATGAAATCCGACCATTTTTCCAGACAAGAGGTCTGTTTAAGAATTGGGATTTTCTATTTTCTTCCTTAAATCTTTAAAGTTGAAATCTTTCGAATTTTGAGTAATTTTTTTCATGTTGGTGTTGCAGTCGAGTGATTCTTATGCGGAGTCGCCGCCAAAGTCTGAGGGGAGGATGATATATTACCATATAGCTGAAGATAATGGTGATGTGGACGATGAAGCAGCGCAGGGTTACTCTATGACCTTCAAAGGAAATGGGGTTGATGAGTTGACTCGTAAACTGGAGGAAGAGACAGGAATTGAGGGTCTCATTGTGTGTGCTCGAAGCCCTTTGAATCGCCAGCTCTTTCCCCTTCGCTTGCAGCTTCCCCCAAACAATGTCACTATGCAGGTTGTTCTGGTGCTGTCAAGTTCAAAAGGTGAGCCTTTTATTAGTTTCTAGCTTGTTAACGTAAATCTGTTTTCGGACTTGGATTGGTTTTCTGATTTGTTTTGTTTTACATTTTGATGCATCAGTTGGGCAATCTCTTGCGAAACAAGGTTTATTATAGGAGGGAGGTATCAAATGGAAATCAAAGTTTTGGTCAGGCTACTGCGTCTTCTGTACATATCGATTAAGACTTGTTTGTATGTTAAAGCTTAAAAGGATTTGAATCAACGATAATGGGGGGAGCCCTTTCTTTAGTTGATGTCGTTGGCTATGGTGGAAGGACATATGCTAACGTTGTTGTCTTGAAATGTATGAATTCATGGCTTTGTTCCTCCTGCTGCTGCTAGTTCTTCCTGTAACAATTATTTGTGGATTTAATCATTTATTTATTTATTTACGTATTTTGGTAGCTTAAACATGTGCTACGTTGAAATCTGATGAACATGATTTACCCCACCCAAGACTTTTCTCCCGCTTTAAACGCAGGTAATATAGAGACCTAATGGGAAACAGGTGAAGATTCGCTGACCTCAAAACCAAACCCACTAGCTAATTTCTTTTTTAATTATTGTTTAAAACGCCACTTATTCTCTCACAACGTGCGAAGGCCAAAGCCAAGCCTCTTGCCTGAAAAATGTCGACCAAATGTTGGCAAATAGCCTTTTTCTATACATTTGCTGACTCGTGATACAATCATACAACAGTGAAAAGTTACCAACAATCCATACAAGAGCAGATGCCATCTCTGAAGTGATGAAATCGAGCACGATCTCTCATGATAATCTCCACGTTGAATATTTTAGAGATCAATTTGGTTACCGTATGGCAGTCATTGCATATCCTCAGGTTCTTGAATATGCGTACAGGCACGCCAGGGTTCAAGCTCAAGAGCCCAAAGGCAATGGCTATTCTCTCACTAGGTCATGACCCATTACTTCAAGCCTTTCTTTAACCACATCCAGAACCCTATATATTTCTCTACTGCGAGGGTGAGATGTGTCCCCTGCAAAAAATTCATGGGTAACACCATCTATCTCTATCAAACTACAGCCGGGCTCTTTCGCTACACCGTCATCTGTCATTAGTTTTCTAATCGATCCAACGTCGTTCCAACGGCTAGCTGAAGCATATACTCTTGACAGAAGCACGTAAACACCACTAGAAACACCTCCTTGGCCTCCTGTAGACTCGAGGATCTGCCTGGCCACTTCTTCACTTAGCTCAACACTAGCATGCTGCTTACTACATGCATCAAGAAGACTCCTCCATATTACAATGTCGGGTTTCATGGGCATTGTTGTCACCAAATTCAAAGCTTCTTCGATGAAGCCGGCACGTGCCAAGAGATCAGCTAGGCATCCGTAGTGTTCTAATCGGGGTTCAATCCTGTACTTGTTTACCATCATATCGAAAAACTTGCGTCCTTCATTTACCATGCCTCTGTGATTACATGCACTCAGAACACCAACAAATGTGATAGAATTGGGCGCAAAGGTCTCCTTTTTAACCAAACGTTCAAAATATTTCAAGGCAGCCTCAGCTTGACCATGCATGGCAAATCCTAGAATCATATAATTCCATGTAGTTACATCACGTTTAGGCATTCTGTCGAAGACTTGCTGAGCAATTTCCAAGGACCCACATTTGCAATACATATCAATCAACGAAGAGTTTATCAAAATATCGTTAGCCAGACCACCATCACACTTCCTCAACACATAAGCATGAGCCCACATCCCAAAATACAAAGCACCCAAACCAGCACAAGCATTTATAATGCTCTGCATTGTATACCCATCGGGCTCAAACTTCTTCTGCATTTCACCAAACAGTTTCAGCGCAGTCTCAAACTCGCCAGCCCGAACAAACGAATCAATCATAACATTCCAGGACACAACGCTTCTTTCGCGCATTTTCTCAAACACCTTCTTCGCCAATTCCAAACGCCCACAAGAAGCGTACAAATGAATCAAACTGTTGTTAATATAAACATCCGAATCAAACCCAAGTTTAACAGCGTTGGCATGCGCTTGTTTCCCTTCGGACAAGGCAAACAAGTATGCACAAGCTCTAAGAACAAAAGGGAACGTATATTGATCAGGCATAGCAGCCCCTTCAGCTAACATTCTACAGTAAAGCAACATGGCCTGCTCTACGCGTTGAGAGCTTCGTGCGCAGGCCCTGAGGAGAGTGTTCCACATGAACGAATGAGGGTTCTCAATCTGATTGAAAACCCGAAACGCGTAGTTGAGATCGGCGAGCGAAGAGAAATGGAGGATTCGGCTATGGAGGAAGAGGGTGTGTGGGTTTGTGGTCGATGTGGCGCGCAATGTGTGAGCGTGTATCTGCTTGAGCTGAGACATGTTCGTACACTCGTTCAACAGGTGGAGAAGATGGGTGTGGAGGTGGGTGCGTGAGTCCCCATTATTGGAGCTGTGAAGAGGGAGATGATGATGAGGACGTGGGGTTGGCGTGATTGCCAGGACCATTGCCACGCTGCCAAATCTTTGCAACGCCGTGAGAGATCACGAGCAGATTGTTATTTTATCTTTTATGAAAAAAAATCACCTATATATTTTTTGTCATGTGAATATGAAAATATCTACATATTTTATTATGCATATGAATATTATATGTATTTCTTTGTCAATTATTATATTTAAATTACTGTTTACCATTGGGCAGTAATTTTTTTGGGTAAACTGATATTCTAACAATCCAGTTTGGCATTGATTTGATGTGAAAATAATATCTGTCATATTTGCTGTGAGAGAAATCAATTTAGCATTTGGTAAACTTTATGTTAAAAGTGTTGTTAATACAATAATCAGTTTCTAAGTGTTCGGTAAATTTTTATTTTTATTTAATTTTTTTTTTGTGAAAGTGTTGTGAGCGGTGTATAATGACTAAAAATGGTATTATGTTGAAATGATTTTTTTTGTTCAAGTGTTTGATAAAAGGGAAATCATTTTCACTTCCACTTATATATATATATATATATTGTATTAAATATGTTTTCATCAAACCCTAAAAATTATTTTAATTATAAAACTAGCCTATTCGCTCGCGCTTCTGCACCTGCAATAGGCTTTTTTTTAAAAAAAAATATTTTATTTTATTTTAAAATTAAAAAAGATAATGGATAGTTGTGTTCCATAAAAATAGTATCTTTTTTTTTTTTTTTTTTTTTTTTTTTTTTTAAATAAATTTTTTATTTTTATGAAAAAGTGTGAATTTACCATATTATCCTCATTTAATTAATAATTTCAATTCTTAATGTTTGGATTAACCAATGGTATTTTATGACATTTAAAATGTTTCACCATTCTCTGCATTTTGCTTTATGTATATAGATATAGATAAATAAAGTATTATGTTGAAAATTAAATATTTGTATCCAAATGCTCTAAACTAATGTTTTAAGTTAAATACAATATATTCCATTAAAAATAAATATTCTATCAATAATACAGTCATAATAAAAATTAAACCAGATGAACTTATTAAACTTGAGGCTATATGATTCCTCAATGCCTCCATTTCTTGTGATATAGGACCATTTTCTTGTTGTGCATCAATGCTGACAATTTTCGAGATCCACTTGCAACATTTTCAGTTGTGGTGAAGTTATTATTCTTCTTTGTCATCTTATTGCAACAAAAACATTATATATATATAAGCACAAAAGAATGGAATCATAGATATATCTCAACTTATAGATGCTTAAGGTGTAATGAGATTACCCAAAAAACAAGTACAATTTATTCCCTTAATGCGTAGAGGAATAGAAAAGGTGGTCACCAAATCTCCACCCCACAGAAAAAGTATTGAATTATGCACTCTGCTGCCCACATCTTTTATCCTAACAAGAATACCCAAGCAGACTCTATTCCTTCGACCAAAAAAAGCATACTCTATTCCATCAATAAAAACAATTATTCTCTACCATGGAAATTAGAAAGCACCAGGCAAAGTCCTCTAAAATCTCACCAACCAATCCTACAAGGCAACATTATGCAATTAAGGCAGCCAACAAACACTTGTCATCAGTCAATCATCATGGCCCTTAACCCAACGTACAGACACTCATGAAAATCATGATTTTAAAAATTAAAACAAAAAACAAACAAAAAATATTGTTCATATAAGCTTCAAATTGCAATTAGTTTTGGAGAACCATGAGGGTGAAGGCAAAAAATGCAAGATGGTAAAAACACAAGAAGAAAAGCAAAATGCTTATATTGTGAAGAAGGATTTGAATAAATAAATGCAACTGGAAAGCAATACCTCTGGAAATTGGAACTCTCTACATAAAGAAGAATATAACTTTAGAGCAACTATAAAATAATTTGTATACCCTTTCGAGACATATAGAGGTAAGCCAACTAGAGTTATGCTACTCTGCTGCTAGCTAAGTATGGTATCATCTACCCACAAAGGCAAGCCACAACTCACAAGGAAGCCAAACACACAACTTAGGACTCCAAAAATAACAAGAAGAACAACAAGCGAATTACTAGCCACAACTCATAGGAATACAAACCAAACTAAAGCCAATCTAATCCCCTGTATAAGCTAAGTAGAAAAAACAACAATAATAAATAGCTACACAGATCTCCAAATGTAAGGATTGCAAGGCACCATAATCTGAAGAAAAAAAAAATTAAACAAGGAAACAAAAACATGAACAGAAAAACAAAAACCAACAACAACAACTATTGAAGTTAAAACCCTAGAAATTAAAGAGAAAGAGGGAAGAAATAAACATAATATGCCTCTTACATGAATCTTGTGGCTTCTCAGGAGTGATTCATTTGATTCAGCAAGAAAAAAATAATATGAAGAATAGAAGAGATTCAAGAGAATGAGAACTTTGTGAAAGAGATGGCAATAAAGGGATGTGAAGGAGAAGATGCATGAAGAGAAGAGATTGCGTGAAAATAGATTGGGGTATTTTAGGAAGTTTGTAAATTTCATTAAACCAATGCCTCTTTGAAACTGATTCCCGTATAATCAAAAAATGAAAGCACCTCATTAGCTACTTTTCCTTATAGCTTTCTCTTATAATAATTTTAACAATAAGTTATTTTCTCATAGTTTACCAAACGGATTAGGCTTCCCAAATTTTTAAAAAACTAACTTATCATCCCAAATAAATAATGTCAAACGGGCACTAAGTAATAACTCTATGCTTGTATTGTTCTCATTCAAGTGGTAGTGTTTTTTAAAGAGTAAAACTAAAAGCACACTTAGAAAATAAAGACATTTTCACCTTTTACCTTCTCTATACCTACAAAATTAAAGAAGGTTTCCTAATTAAATTCATTAGCCAAACTCTCCAAGTCCTTTAAACTTTCCAGTTTCCAGAGTTACTTTCCTAATGGAATTGGAAAACCACAACTTTCACTTTTATCCCTCTTTCCATTTTGTATTACTTTCCAAATACAAGAGTTAGAAGGATTCCTACTTCATTGTGAAAATGATTACTTGAGAGTTTCTTGATAGGTAAGACTCTTAGGTAGATGCATATAAATGCAATTGCTCACGCTCAATCAATTTCACAACCTACACTAAAGTATTCACCTATCTTCAATGAATGTGTGAGGAATCGAATTGAGAAGAAGATCACGTGTACCAATTTTAGACAACTTTGTGGCAAATCAAGGTAAGTATTTTTAGTTGCTTATGCTTAATAAGTTTTACATTTTGATCATCACGTGTGAGAGCGACCTACCACCCTCACCAGAATAAGGCCAAAGTAGGCTAAGCTTTACCACCACCCCACTACATCGGGCCATCTGTGCCATTCGATCACGTGAATGATGATGACATCATGGCCTCTATGGTGGCATCCAATACAAAAGTTGCACTCGTAAGTTGTGGGTAGCCAATCTACTTTCTATGAAGAAGAAGAAATTCTTTTGATTACGTTTCACAAAAACTTTAAAACGCTTGTGAGTTATAAAAGTACTTTCTTTGGAAATATTCTCAAATAATATTTCGAGTGTTTTAGTTCGATGCTAGTTTGTTGACTTTTTTAGTCAACACGATTTTTTTCGAATTTTTTCTTTCTGATGTGACTTAGTGTTCTAGTTTTCTGGTATCAATGCCCACCCCTAATATTACGTAGGGAAGTTTCTCTTTTCAAAAGGATGTAAGAGACATTGGAAGACTTCGAAACGCAAAGTAGCATTGACATTGACAATAACTCCTTGTCTAATAAGCAAAGTAACAACTAACGCCATTTGCATTGCTGCTTTCGTAATTCAATCCAATTCGCCACTTGACTTGCCAGCTGCATTATTATTAAAACCCACAAAGTCGGTCGACACCACAAAATTACAACTATACTTTACAAGAAAGAATAAATTGGATCACACAAACTCACAATGTCACATAGCAAAGCTCGGAAGAGGAAAGGGCGGCGTAATGAACAATCAATAATTAAATTAAATTAACCAAAGTTAACTAAATAAAAAAGTAGAAAACGGTGTCGTGTTGTGGAAACGTTACGTGTCCACAGATGGCGGCCATCTATCTCTCATTCCATGTACCTCACCTCATCACCAGCATCAACGACCGACCAGAATCTGTGCAACTGTAATATTTTTTTCTTTTAATAATCTAAAAAAAAACAACAAACAAAAACAAAAAAAAAAAAAAAAAAAAGAAAACAAAGATACTTGTTTCTTCAAGCTCCCCCCACTTGACCGCACGTTGTGGTTTTTATTTAATATTAATACCATCTGTGTCCTTCTTGCTCCTGGAGCAACCTACCTTATCGACAACAACAACTCAACACTGACTAAACGCGTACCAAACCAAGCGCTCAAAAATCTCCACACTCTAAATCTAAAACTAGAAAAACCGCGTTTCGTTTCGTTTGGGTTTTGCTCGCCATGCACTTCCACAACCGCCCCACTCGCCGCTATTTCTCTCCGATTGCCCCCATTTCATAATTCTGGTTTTTCAAATTCAAACCACAGATATCCACATTCTTCTCTTTCAATTCACAGCGGAAAATTAAGCGGAACCGTTGATTGGAGAATCAGATGGGCGTGGACTTCTACAACGTGCTGAGAGTGAACCGGGACGCGACCCAGGAGGACCTGAAGAAGGCGTACAAGAGGTTGGCGATGAGGTGGCATCCGGACAAGAACCCAGTTGACAACGAAGGAGCAGAGGCCAAGTTCAAGCAAGTTTGCCAGGCCTACGATGTCCTCAGCGACCCCCAGAGGCGTCAGATCTATGACATCTACGGCGAGGAAGGGCTCAATTATGGTGACCCAGATGATATTTTTGCCGAGTTCTTCGGTGGATCTGGGGACAGAGACAGGGTGTTTAAGAAGAAGAATAGCGTTAATGGTAGTTATGGCAGTGGCGGTGGCGGGAAAAGTAAGAAGCTTGCGGCGATTGAGAGTAAGTTGGTGTGTAGTTTGGAGGATTTGTACAAAGGGACCAGAAGGAAGATGAGGATTTCAAGAACTGTTCCTGATGAATTTGGGTGAGTGCTCTAATCTCTCTCTTTCTGTGTCTCTGTTTTTGAGTTCCTTTTATATATTTATATGTGGGAATTGCTGCAAAATTTGTTTTTTCTTTAATTGGGATTTGGAAATTTTGGAAAATGATGTGTTTGTATTGTTTCCTAATTTAGAGTGTTTTTGGCATGTGGACTCTTTCGCTGACTTTAATTTGGTTTGATCTAAGCATGTACATACATTATATGGTTCAAATTGGATCTAGTAGCTTTGTTTAGGGTAGGTGTTTGAGTTTGCTAATTAATTAAACCAGACATTTGGAGATGTTTAGCTGATCTTGACTTTGACTTGAACGATTTTGGGTGAGATTTCATTTTGTTTGTCTCCCTCCTGTAAAGGGAAGGGAATTAAGGCCTCATGAAGTTTCTTAATTTGAGAAGATTGTCCTTTTTTGTTTTAATCACTTAGCAATCTAGTAGCTTGCGAATTGGTGCTGAATTGATGATTCTTTGGAGATTTAGGGTTAAGTCCTGGGTAGAAATCTACAGAGCAGCCCTGAGCTTAGTCTGGTGTAACCAAATTTCATTGTAATAAGCTTTTGGACATTTATAGTTAACTAAAACTTTTTTGCCCTTGAATGATTCTCTCCTCTAGTTCTGTTTTGTCTAATGTTCAGAAAACTCTGTTGCAGTAAGCCGAAGACAGTTGAGGAAATCTTAAAGATAGACATCAAGCCTGGTTGGAAGAAGGGTACGAAAATCACCTTCCCAGAGAAAGGCAACCAAGAACCAGGAGTCTCTCCGGCAGATCTTATATTCGTGGTCGATGAAAAACCCCATGGTGTTTTTAAAAGGGATGGGAATGACCTTGTGGTCACTCAGGAGTTATCTCTACTCGAGGCTCTCACGGGGACTTTCGTCAATCTGACAACCTTAGACGGAAGGATTCTGATGATCCCAGTGAGAGATATAATTAAACCTGGTCATGAGGAATTGATCCCTAATGAGGGAATGCCCATCTCAAAAGATCCCACCAAGAAAGGAAACCTCAGGATCAAGTTTGACGTCGTCTTTCCATCGAAGCTGAGTGTAGAACAGAAAAGTGATCTGAGAAGGGTGCTTGGTCGAGCTGATTAATTCCTAGTTGATCAGAGTTCATGCCTAACTAGGATGCCAAGTCCATTAACTCTAATTGGCAAATTAAGATCAATTTTGTAAATATTTAATGTTTCCACTGCTTAATTGTGCATACTAGGAAGCAAAGCTTTTAGGGTTGGATTGGGTCTTCCATTTCAAATTAGTCAGTGTAATAGCAAAATAGCTATTAGTCCTTTCTTTTTCTAGAATGATGGAAAAACCATTTGTGTAATGTGTTTTTTTTTATAAATGAAGAACTGGTTTTAGCTTCAAGCTTCTTCTCTCTCTGATTATTTCTTTTGCGGTCCATGCCCTATACATTTGAGTGGTTGAGGAGAATTGGAGTTACAAGCTTGTACAGACTTTGGTCCGTGTTCGTATATTACAAGTCAGTCTGCTTGAATTCATTGCATGATGTTGTCTCTGCTTAACCGTTGGGGTTGGTGGTCCTCAATCCTGATGGTACAAACATTTAGAGGGCATGGCATATTTTTCTACCTCCAAGTCCAACGTATTGCTGGCTATGTCTTTAAGTCATAGTTGAATATCTCCATACTTTTAAACTCGTTACAACTCTCTTCAATCTTTATAAGTCTTAAGATTATGAGAAATTGAATTGAGGAGAATTAGATTCCAGATTCCTATTGAAGTTGTTTACTAAATCATATGGAATTGGGGTGGCAGTGGTTCTAATTACTAAAATGTCCTCGTTATTAGGTTAAAGTAGATGACAAATTTGGAATTTTTAAAATTGTATGAGGATATAATGGGTAAAAAAGATGAATTTTTAATGAGTTAATTCTCCCAAAATTGGAATACCACCTCCCACCTAAGAATTCAATTCCTCCAAAATCAAGAATTCAATTCCTAATTTTGTGTGGGCCCCACTTACTTTTTAATTCTTTGATGTGAAGTAAACACATGAATCCTGCGTATGTGAAATTCGAATTCCTGATAAGAATTCGAATTCCTAATTAGGAAACACGCCAAGCTCCACCACCAACCCCTTCTGGCCTGCATTTTATGAGCATCACCCTTTTTTGTTCTTTTTCTCTGCGGTGGGATTGAAAAGGTGATGCTCAACGTGTGCACGAGCGCCAATGAATATACAATACCATAGTGATAAGAATCTGACGGAGTGCTTAAATGTAAGAACATACCTACCTTTTTATTTTTGTAATAATGACGAAAAGTTGAGAATATTTTTGATATTACGAAAAAGAGATTACTAGAGCAAAAGTTGAGCTGATTATATGTAAGAATCATGAATTCAATATGTATTATTGTAGGGATCAAATTTGTGATTTTAAAGCAAGTTGTGAATTGTGATTGCATTCATGAGTTCTTGTATACTGGTACTGGTATTGAGTCGGATTATAAAAGGAAGGAGTAGGAGAGCAAGAGAAGACACATACCATTTCAAATTAAAATCAAAGTGAAATAACAGACACCATAACTCCATGCATGAAAATTAAATCATTTAGGGTCATATTTTATTCACTCTCCCCTCTGAGAAACAAAGTGAGGGGATGGAGACACCTTATTCTTTTTTCTTCTTTTTTTGTTGGCTTTATTTCCACATCATCATATTCCCGATCGATCCAGCTCAATTTGACTCAGAGCATCAGCCATCAAGCTTCTTCAACCTTCTTCAACCTTCATTATTATTTTTATTTTATTTCCTGTGTTTCTCAATCTTCTTCTGGAGTTCCTCCTTCCTGGCCCCCACGACCTTATCAACCACGTCCCCTTTCTTCACAAAAACAAATGAAGGCATTGCCTGCACCCCAAACTCCCTAGCCACGTCCTACATATATATACAATTAATATCAATCGCTCAAATCCTTATTATTATTTCAATAATATAGAAACAAAAATTCATCATGCATAAATAAATCAAAATATATATATATATATACCGGTAACTCGTCTACATCCAGCTTGATAAACTCAACGTCTGTGTATTTATCAGCATACTCCTTCAATGTTGGCTCCATGGCTCGACAAGGTCCACACCATGTTGCCGTGAAATCTATCACCATCTATATATATTTTGTCATCAACACCACCACCACCGTGCAAATTAGTACAACAAAAAAAAAAACTCAAAGATTATGCGTATATATAAGAGAGAGAGAGAGAGAGAGAGAGCTTATAAATATAAGTACCAGTTTGTTGCTTTCTTTGGAGGCATTGAAGTGAGTGCTCCATTGGTCCTTGGAATGGAAGGCCATGATGCGAGACTTCTTTCCGCGTGACGAATCATCATCGGAGTAGTCTTGAATGTGTGATAAGTTGCCTCCCATTTTCTCTTCTCCTTCTTCTTCTTCTTCTTCTTCTTCTTTGCTTTATCAAATTAATGAACAAAGAAAGAAATGTTGGGGTATTTGTAAGTGGTGGGCAAGGGGGGTTTATATACTAGTTACATGGTGGCAGTGGGCGAAAGGGAGTTGTATGATGACCTATAAGAAAGAACCCGATTCGTTGCATGTTTGACACAACTATCATTTTGCTATATACCGTTCATATCTTGTCTCAAAGAGCAAGATCAATTACTCCAAAACACTACTACATTAGTAAAACTTTTATGATTCCAACATTTTTTAAAGTTCATATTTATGAGTTGATTTCAGATTTATGATCGGGCCTTACCCTCCTATTTAAGCAAGTAAAAGAGCAGAATGGGTAAGTTTTGTGACCTGACGTCAAAAGAAATGAAAACAACGTATCTACTGTAAAATACGTTAATGGAGAACTTACCACAAAGAGAAGAATGGGATAAATATATTCTCTCTCCATTAGCATCCAATTTAAAACTAAAAGTCAGCGTAATTGTAATTAATTAGGGCCAGGCAGACCTTTTTTATTTTTTATTTTCTACAATAGAGCAAAACAAAGAATAATGCTACTCAAGGGCATCTTGTTTTTTTGTACTTTACAGGTAGGGCTCCCATGTTTTGCTTCGTCCGAGTTGCGCGCCACCTATGCATGCACATAAAGCAAAAGCTACCATACTTACCACCCACAAAGCCAAACCACAAATGATAATCGCTTTTGGGAAAAACATTTATATTATCCAATCACAGGGAGACCCAAATTGCGGCTGAATATATAGTAAACAAATACAACATGTTTTTATTTTGGCTAGAAACATCTTCATATTTAATTTATGATTGAAGGAAAAAAAAAAAGAGCAAAATATGAAGACCACTAGAAAAAAAACAAAAAACAAAAAGCTAAAAAGCAACTATATCGGGACCGATCTGAAAAAGTTTTATAATTTATAATTTATTTTTCCTTCCAAAGATGAAAAATTCAGTGATAATTTGTGGTGTTAGGACTCATTTGATTTTCAATTCGTTCCTTATTCGTCTGTACTTCTCACCAATGAAAATTCAATTTGTTTATTGACAAGTAGATATGCTTTTGAAGATTAACAAAAGCAAAATCTTGCTTTGGAACAGAGAGGGGGCCAATTAAAGCCAAAAACGCATAGTTTGGCATCTCATTCGCTGATTAATTTATTTGGGCGATGTAGAGTGGAGGTAAATCTAATATAAATGGATGCAGTATACATGCCCATATTTTATCCCGAAATCAAACAACGATAGTTGATTATAAAAAATAAACCATCATCGGATGTGGATGTGTATTGATTGGAGCAATTGCTCCCTTAGAAAAGGTTATGGATTCGAGTCCTAATATCCGTGTAGTGCTTGTGAGCTTAATATGTTCTTACCCCTCAATGAAAATGTCAAAATTCAATTATTACAAAAAAAGGTCAGCATAATTAGGGACCGTAGCAGTCATGGACACCAGCAACCACGAACATATGCCACAGCAAATGAAATAATTGTACAACTCAAAGGGAGAAATCTAATCATCAGGCAGGCAGGCACCTGCGTTAAATTAAGTCAAATCATGTCCCAAAAATACTGCAACATGTTACCTCTTTCAAAGTTTTTGACAACAAAATGCATGAGCTGAAACTACAAAAGACCAAAAGACGTCCTTGATGGTGAATTCGTCAACAGCAAAACCCACAGCCAAATAATATTTCATGCGAAGCAGAAAACGTCTTCGCCCCCACCCCCCACCACAACCCCCATTATAAAAACTAGTAAACAAGCATCCTATGGAAACTAACAGTATTGTCATGATGCAACTCCAACGTTGGCTGAGTTATGGCCATCTTGAGCTGCGGAACCATGGTGGTTGTAAGAGGGCCCACCACCTCTACCGCCCCTTCCCCTGTTGTTATAGTAGTTCCTTGGATAATAATTTCCAGGCTGGTCATAGAACTGGTTGCGGCCATTCTGGTAGGGTCCACCTCCTCTTCCACTGCCTCGACCTCCACGACCATTGGTGTTTACTCTACGCCCACCTCCACCACGACCACCTCTTTGGTTTTGATATGGCCTGCGTGAAAATTGCTGTTGCTCGGATTCTACATCTCTTTGATTGTACTCTACTTCTGTTTCTAGCTTGGCTTGTTCTTGTTGAACCGAGACAACCTCAGAAGGATTTTCTGTTTCTAATTCATCCTGCAAAGCAAGAATGTCCCTTATTTCAATAAATAAATAAAAACAATTTCCAGGAAGAATTGACAGTAAAATGCTTAAAAAGAATGAATGACCGTAGAATGCTAAGCACAGAGCACCACCTTCTGAAGTTCCTCTGTGCGACTGGATTGGTTATCACCAGTCTCGTTTCCTTGAAAATTTGTTGTGTCTTCATCCTACAGAGCATATACAGAAAATTCAACACTTATAACTTGACCAATTGCTATTGCTCAGTTAACAACAAAAATAACAAAATCAAGTAATCAAATATATTATAAATGGGTGTGACCAGAAACAGCATAACAACGGAGTTGAAATAAAGATAGCTATCCCATATGTATCGTCAAAAGGAAACAAGAAAACATTGTCATTCATACCAGATTAAACAAAAAAAAGTAAAGATATCTTTATATCTTAGAAATATACAAGAAAGAGAAATGCATTAGACAATCTTGATTTAAAGTTTTGGATAGATCTCAATGCACTCGTTCAAATCATCTCACATGCAAATATAAAGAACTCCCAGGTAAACTAAAAAAGATGTATTGTACCCCTGCCTATCTGTGAAAAATTACCCCTATTTGAATTTACACCACCACTACCAGACACAGCCCTCCCCTCCCCCGCGCCCCTCTTCAAACCTCTGACAAGTATGGCCGATACAGAAGTTAACTTATTGCAGAATGGAAGTCAAGTCTGCCTCCAAACTTGTTAATCATATAATTTAGGTAGCGGACAAGTTCACATATGTCCTCCACAAGTCTCAAGTTGCATTTAAATCAAAACAGGCACAATGGGTTCAGGAGAAATGCAGTGGAGCTAAGGGCCAATGGCAAAGCAAATAGATTAGGCTGAAATACAACAGGCGCATCACTAAAATGTACCCTCTGGCAGCAAAAATCCCTAAAGGGAGCGGAGTGGGGAGCAGGTGGTGGCAAAGTGCGCACACCACAAAAAAAAAAAAAAAAAAGCAGAGCACCCCCAAACAGACTACTTTAAATAATATGGCTCAGATTCAGTCGAATGGGGTTACCAAAAACTAAACATTTTAGATGGCGGCAAAGTTGTACATGACATGTTATACAAAGTGAGATGGGAACCAACAACTACCTACCCAAAAGGGCTAGAAGGTTCTAAGCATATACACACCATATCAAATATCTTAAAGAGTAGTGGAAAAGATAGAAAAAAAAACTTTTAATATGTGTGGTTCAGCTGTAAAGGAGATAATGAAATTTCAATTTCACAACAAAATACATCAATGCACGTTAGAAAGATTTTAATGATCATTGGGCATAGCATTCAGAATAATTATGACTATTGTTGTCACATATACAAGAAGCACATAAATTTTTCACAGATCATGTTTGAGGCACACAGACCCACAAATGAATGCTCACAGAATGACAACTTCTGAGCCTACAAAATAAAATACGACCTCAGTTGAGACTAATTCTGCTCGTGGTTCAAATAATCATAGTTTCATGTAGTGCTAAATATCAATCTGCAATATTCTAATTTATGTTGGTCAGTTCAACAAAGAAAACATCTTTCACTATTTCATAGTTTCCAAAATGCTTGCATCTAGAAGGGAACATAAGCTGCCAACAACTCATTACTCACAGTAGTTAGTTCCTGAGATTGTTCTACCAATTTCCAGCTTCCAGTCAATTAAACCCTTTTTAAACTTATGATAGACACTAGTGCTAAATATCAATCTGCAATATTCTAATTTATGACTATTTCATAGTTTCCAAAATGCTTGCATCTAGAAGGGAACATAAGCTGCCAACAACTCATTACTCACAGTAGTTAGTTCCTGAGATTGTTCTACCAATTTCCAGCTTCCAGTCAATTAAACCCTCTCTAAACTTATGATAGACACTACTATGCCCTACAGAAACAGAGTCAGATCACCACATCTTGCACTTCAACGTTTCCATCAACCAACAGAAAAATATAAGCATGAGTATAAAGAAGACAAATGTTCTTAAAAAGAAAAGAGGGTCCACTACTCATGCTAAATTGCCCACATAACATGTCTAAGTTTATGTGTTCCCAAATATACCAATTCTCGGAGATTTTCTTTGCTTACATCATTGTTTAATTTTTCTAAACATAATTGTTTTGATGATATGCTGAACTAAGAATTAAAAACAAAATCATGCATCACAATCAAAACACACAAAAGATCATAATGACCTAAGCACCTACATTGTTATTGGAACAACACAAAGCAGACCCCATATCACAAGTAGCCAAAACTTAAAACTAAATCAAGTTATACCTTCTGCTGGAAGTGTGCAACTTCACCTTCCACCTGGACAGGCACCTGCACCTGCACCTGAAAAGGAGCATAGTTCCCAGCAGCAGCTGCCGCAGCAACTTCCACTGGAGCTTTCATTTCCGGCGTAGTAGTAAAGTAGACCGAAGCCATAATCTTACTAAGTCTCTCTCTCAAGCTGGCATCTACATAAAAAATTAAACCTTCAATGTCAGAGAATCAACCACATAATTTGCAAAAACCCAACTAAACATATTTCACAAAAAGATTGAAACTTTACAGGTCACACTGGCATTAGGCTCAATGGGTTGGTCCGACTTAGCGAGCCAAAGCTTGGCGTGCTCGATACAGCGCTGCAACGCATTCTTATGCGACAAGCTGGAATCGACGGGCCGCGAGATCAATAACCCACCGAGCGTCGAAATCAAATCCAAGTCCCTCGCGCCGAGCATCTCAGTATCGTCGTCGGTGATGGTATCGTAGGTTAAGCAACATTCTCTCTCGTGGGTCCTGGTCAAAATAATCCGGGTGAAGTCACTCGGCGACTTGACATCGAACAAGGAACCAAAGTAGAGTAGATTCAGAAGCTCCTCGACGGAGGCACCTTGACGGTCGTCAGATTCAGTGGGCTGGGCGACATTGGACTTGTCGTCCTCTTGGGGTTTATCATCCGAGAGTGGTTGGGTGGAGGCGGAGACCTGGTGGCGGTGCACCGCGAGGTCATGCTCTTCGGTGACGGCGACGGAGAGAGGTTGGCGAAGCTTCTCGAGCTCTTCGATGAGGACGATGACGGCGGGCTTGGAGCGGAGGACCTCCTCTTGCTCCTTGTTGAGGGCCTTGCCTTGGGAAAGCGCCTCCTCCATCTGGATTATGCGGTTTTGTTTCTTGCGTAAAGCTCGGATGCGCTTGTTGATGAGGCTGAGGACTGGTCCGTCGGAGAGGTCCGAGGCCGCGGTGGCCGCCATTTCGACTATTGGGTTGGTTCTAGGGTTTTCTGTTTTGTGGTGATCGGCGAGAAGCACCACCAAGTGGCGGTGGTGGTTGTGGTGGTGGCGAGGGTTTTGGAGAACGCGAAGCGGCGGGAGGGATTTTGGGGGGAGAGAGAGAGAGAGAGAGAGAGGGAGAGAGGAGGGAGCTGGAGACGTGTGAGGGGGGTTGGGGCCTTTTGGGGTTTGGAAATTCTTGTTGCAAATATTAATAGGAGATTTTAAGGTGAGCGTGTAGGGGCACAACACAAGTCACAGGTCTTGTCTTCTGTGGATAGTGATAATGGGTTGGATTCATGATAATGGGTTGTGCATTTAGTGGCCCATTTCAAACAAATAATCCAACAATTTGAATACGGAAAACTAATGTTTTATTTTCTATTTTATTGGTTGGAACTTGGAGTCCTTGAGATCAGATCAGACCCAGAAAAGAAAAAATGAAACTTGAAGTTACAACATTAGTAGGATTGCGTCCCATGACCTGACCACGAATGTGAAACTGCTTAAACGGTGTACTCGTGACTCTTTAAGTCTTTGATTGCTTTAGCACGTACATGAAGAGAAAACAGACAAAGGCCTCAAATTCAACAGGTGAGGGGTGCAATGCAACCTTCATGACTAAAATACAAAGCGTTTTCTCGTCTCCGTTCAGTTCAGTTTTCCTCACCTCTCTCATCTCCATGTCTCCTATTTCTCTTCAATTTTCAAAAATAACATGGTAACATACTGGGTCGTGAAGGCACATTTTGTATGGGTCATTCGTCGGTCACAAGTAAAAAAGCTGGTGGTTATCTAAATTCAGTCACGCAACATAAACATTGTGATAACACATCAACTCTAATCGGAGCCTATTTTCATAGTGAGAAGCTAAAGGAAGAATGCTAATAGTGTAAAGGTCTCGTTATAAACCTCCATTTTTCATACCAAGTATACTTATAACCAAAAATGAAAAAGAAAAAAAGAGAAGGATGGCTTCCAACTTTCTAGCGAGTCAGAGACCTGTACAACGCCTATGAACTCCAACAAAATTGGATCAAAACTAGCCATGTGTCTTCCCTCAATGCTGTGCTGAACTGCCTTGGTTGAATCTGTTGTGTCTCATTGATACTTTTATATTTAATAAATTAATAGCACCTAATTCTATTCAAATTTGGCAGAATAAGCTCTAGAGGAAATACTGCTATCAGCCTTGTTTTAACACCTCCAGTTCATTGGCACCCGACTGTCAGGAAGAAGCAACATTTAGTATGTTTGCCTCATGGATCTGTTTCTACTGGAAACTTGGCTTTTCCTGCATAGATGTACTGTATCTCCTCCTTCCAAGTCTGCAAGAAAAGCCAATCATTCAGCAAGAAAACGAGGAGGAAGGGAGATGGGGAGGGAGGGCCTTTCAAAAAGTTCAACAGGAACCATAGACACTTGCCTCATGTCGAAAGGCAATCCTCAAATGAGGCACATTTGTCTTCTGCATGTCATTTCCTTCAGGGCCTCTCAAGAAATACTTACTACCAAGCCAGTGCGACTGCAGTTTGGAGAAAAAGATAACTAATTATCGTAAAAGACCTTGGGGGTATAATCGGATGGTACAAATAGTCAACATCAAATCTGAAAATGGACTAGACCCGGTAATTGTATGCATCAGAGAGAGAGAGAGAGAGAGAGAGAGAGAGAGAGAGAGAGAGAGAGAGCATTTAAATTTCATACGAACACAGAATTTTCTGCAGGTAAATTTCCTCACCTTTGCTACATGTGAAAATCCAGATTGATAGACAGAATTTCTCGCCACCTCGCAGAGGTCACAAGCACTGAGCTTCCATACCTGAATTATACTGATTTGATAAGATACACAATGAACACTGTAAATAAATAAAAAAATCATGAGTAGACAAACCTGTGCTGCAACACTATATTCTTCCACAAGCGGTTCTTTTGTCAAATGGATTTGTAAAGGATCATCGCTTGAGAGTGAGACGTTTAGACCACGTTGGAAGAACATAGGAAAGGGGTTGCGATGGTAATCCAAGAAAAGTGAATTATTGCTCAAAGGTGACATAAGCAACCCAACCTGCTTTTAAGGGAAGTTACTAATTGTATTGATATCACAAAATCAGAAGCAGGACAAGGTCAATAACAAGCTAACAAGATTAAAATTGTATAGTTAGTTAACACTAAACAATAAGATCACACAGATTGACATGGATAAATGCCTGCGAAACAAAAGTCACAAGGGGCCAACCTGGGCCAGGTAATACAGGTACTGCAAAACAGGAGTTTTGCGAAGATTGATCCCATGAGAGATATTATGGCATAGAAGGAATCCGGCAGCCAAATGGTCAGTATCACCCGCCTGCAGAGTATAAAACTCCTTAAGATCACAACGACCATTAAACAGTAATATGTGAGTTTAGGTAGCAGAAAACAACCTCTCCACAGTGAGGTCGGAATTTTATTGTAGGAAGCCCCTTTGATTCACGCAGCTGGAAACAAAGGGAAACAAGAGAGTAGAATCAATTTCAATATCCCTAGATATAATTTGCCATCTTTTTATACTTACAAGGATCAGGTGTTGAAAACCTTATTAAGAGTGTACAAGTTTGCATAGCAGTAATAAGCATAATAAGAGTATGCAGGATTGAATTCATTAGTCCATTCAGCTGGTGTTGGCATGTGTTTAGTTGGACGCCTTTCTGGTTTACTTTCATCATCTACAATGTCAAAACCCACCACCTGTTTTCAAACAAATAACCATGTTAAAACTAAAAACATATAATATAATGACTGAAAAGCTATTAGTATTAAGATACCTCAATGAGTCGAAATTGGTAGTGGATTATATTAAGGGGATGAAAGGTTTATCCTTAAATGTATATGACTATTAGACATGTTTATTAGGTTGTAAAACCGTGGACTGTCCAAAATATTAACAACTCTACTGAATTTTGTATAAAATTCCTCTTGTTCAGTAAAGACATGGTTAAGCAAAGGAAATACTTATATTTTCTTAGTAATTTAAAAGTCTTCTACCCAACTAAATCCACCATTTAAGTCCTGTCCTGGGATTTGGAGTGTGAAACTCACTCCACCACAAAATCACACACATCAAAATATCCATCACATCTTTAAATAACATCCCTAAGGCATCTACATATCTGGAAGACTGACCAACCTGCATCAGGAACAAATGTAGTTGAGGATGAGAATTTGGATTGACAGTGGCTTCAAAGAGCGGTATGAACACATTATCTAAAATATTCTGGAAAGAGGTAACAATTCCCATCTTTTTGTAGATATTGTATAGCCGTGGTAGCTGCAAATTGAAAACAACGGTAAAATCTCATGAGCTGATGTATGAAGCTAACTTTAAAGGAAAAAGTTACCGGGAAAACTAGACATTTAGAACTACCATGGAGAAACCCAATACAATAATCATGCAAGTCAATGGATGAGGAACTAATAAAGTATAGCTACTAATAAGAACAAACTACCGATTCATAGTCAAAAACATAAAATATAGCCAACAGAGCCATATAAACTCTTGTTGGTATTTGTCTCTCGGTAGTCAAGAACACGATCTTACCATAACTATCTAGAGCCTCCTTATGCAATATATGTCTAATACATGTTCAGTCTAATGCTCAAAGTGACATAAAATGCTACAATGAATAAACACATTATATGTAGCTACCGTGCTCCATTCTCCAGATCATATTGATGCAGTACAAACCTTTTTCAATTATGTGTGCATACTGTTCATTCACGGTCCAATACAATATCAAATTGTCCATAAAATCTTGCAGATGATCATTTTGCTAGCAGAGTGGAAGCAAAAACTTAATGGTTTAGATCCATATCAGCAGGATGAAGACAATTTTTCAGTTTCTTAAATAGGTCCAATTCTCCCACAAACCAAATCATTTTACATGTTTACACCAATTCTACCCTAATGACATATGTTAAAATTAAGTACTGATGAGCAAATGCCAAAAAGAGCACATATAGATAATTCAAATTGCAATCACACTTGGGAGTACACCACATCTAATGATATAAGCCAAGTGAAATATGAAAGGCATCATCATGAGTACAGGATCCCAACAATGCAGACAGACAGTTGACTACTCACACAACTGAACAGGAACCAGAGAAAAAAAAAAGCTAACAAATATTTAGATACCTGTATTAACCAGACAGCGTTCTCACTATAGATTGAATTGTTAACGAACCAACTAGCCAGTTGATCCCACTCACTTTGTTTCCTTCCATAAACAGAAATCCTGTACTCTGCCATCTGAAGGAAAAACAAAAAAAAGATACAATGATCTAAGAGGCCTACCAATAATCTTTCTTTTATAAATAACTGATATAAGCCCAAAATAATTCCTGAAGAATTTTATGAGCATTCATCAATACAAACCATTACAAGAAAACCTGAGATATTTGAAACTGCTATATTCTTTGGTAAGTTGAAAACACAGAGTACTAAGAGAAATGCATTATTACACATGAGCACACAGAGAGAGAGAGAGAGTAACAGTCGAACAGTACATTTTAAGTTTTCCAAGACCATAGCATAGACAGAATACAAAACAAAGATTTAAAAAACCTGATATCTGCTGGCTTCAAGATCTGACAGAACTTCTTTTGTTACTTCTGCTAAAAACCTCCCTGCAATAGTACAAATAATCAATCAACTTTTTGAGAGAAGTTAAAAAAGAATCGAATAAGATGTCATGTAGGTCCAGTCCAGGGCTATTTATTTTCTACAAGCCAACATCATGCAGGAAGAGGTGCAGTACAGGTCAGGTTACATAAGGATACAGTTGATTCTCAAATGAAAGTCCGAACAGAAAAGATTGCATGAGTGTGACACCATACAAATGCAAAGATGAATCTTCCAAACTGAGTGGCTTTACATTCATTTTGATCATACCCTGGATAAGATTGTCCTGCTTCAAGAATATTTCTCTGAGTCTGCTCTGTCCACATGGATTATACTTTAAGTTGAATTTGTCAAATCGATGGAAAGTACTCTTATCCGCATGCACATCTAACAAGTCAACATTCAGATCATGCCTGAAATAAAACACATACCATACCAGTATAAGAGAGACAGATACTACAATTGATAGATACCAATCAAAAGATCAGAGCAAATTGTACCCTGTTAAGTCCAAACTCTCAAAGACTTCCTTGAGTGTAAGATATTTTCCATCTCTGAATATGACAACCTGCCCAATTTAAGTTGTGTGGCATAGTTAGTTAGGAAGTAAACTAACTGTTGATGAGAAACGAAAAGGTGATATTCTGAAACAGAAACCAGAGGGGCATTGCGCCCCTTTTGAGCCATGGAACAATGTCGAAACTAAAGTTCATAGCAAGTTCCCTGAAACAAACAACTAAAAAAGAATATAGTTTCTACCTCATCAGGTTCTTTTTTGAGCTTTGACTTGATAAAGGAGAGGAGATGCTTCTGGTTCATGCAAGCAGAATGGTGCACATGCGTATCAACTTTCCTAACATTGTAAAAATCACGGTGTGGTGCACTCTTCTGGGCTAAAAATTCCCTATCCGCATTTAGCAACAGATGAACACGGAATTTCTGCACGATATTCAGACAAGTCATAAACAGAAACCAAAAATAGACGTCCAAGACAGGGAAAAAGTTAACTGAACCAACCTCCTCAAGAAATCGTAACCTATGATGGCATGCAGAGCGTACATTTCCAATAGACAAAACTTTTAGAAGATAATGCAAATCAGTGAAAAATGCTGTTGAACTTGCAACAGGGAAAATATCTACAGTGTCTGCAGAGAAAAACAAAAGGTAAGTGCTCATGAAGCAAGATTTCCTAACTCAATTAACTACAACTCACGATGTATCACTTTTACTAAACTATGAATTAATTCAGTGCTTACCATTTTCACTTGCATAAACATGTATCACACCGTCTTCCATCCTAAAGCAGTGCTGCATGAAATATTTAAAAGAAAGAAAAAATTAAACAAATGATATGAACAAAAGAACTCACTTGAACAGTCAAAATTCAGACAGATTTTATCTGCTGCAAAGAGTGAGAGACAGATTATGAATGAGAAGAGAATGACTCACAGTTGATGGTTCAACGGGTTCAAAATGAAATGGATCACTTTTCTTCTCTGATGCAATGGAGTCTGTTCTGGCTACCGTCCATGGAGCAACTTCTTCTCTGTAAAGATACCTCTTACGTAGATCCAAGCATTCTCGAATCATCTTGTGCACTTCTTCTTCTTCTTTGCTTATTGATTCTACACAGAATTGTTTTGACAAATAGCCAAGGATGCATCAAGTTATTAGCTACATTGAATGATAGAATATTTCTTGTTTGATTATAAGTTATAACTAAATTTTTTGTTTTAATTCAATTGCCACAAAAGAATCCTTCGTACAAATTACCATGTCAATACCTACCGTACTACAACATTCAAAGTTCAAACAAAATGTTATATACAACTACAAGTCAATAGGCAAAAAATATTCAATAGCATCTAATGTGCAGGTCAACCAACAAATTTGAAGGTCAAAGGAACTTAGAAGTAAACCAGATACAGAGCTGTGAAAGTATTAATGGCTGGGAAAATGGGATTACCATGCATTGATGCACTCAATGGTAAAACGATGCTGGTAAAATTGTGATCATTCTTCACGGAGTTTCCTGAGGCTGTATCTACCTTTCCATCGCCTTGCAGATCAACATCAGATTTTGCTTCAGTTTAAGTCACTTGATACATTTGATCTTGTATAAAATTCTTAACATCACTTTTAAGAAGAACTGCAGAAGAATTTTGAAGGTTTGAATTTACATCCAACAAATCCATCTACTTGTAAAATGGTTCGGTTCTAGATGCTTTCATTTCATCAACAGATCCTATACGAAGGCAAGTAAACATGTACGAAGTAAAGATATTCTTATGTGCTATAGTAGAATCTGTTGACATTTTGGCCACACACAGGTTTCTGATTTCAAAAGAAGGTTCCAGACTCTTTCTCCATGCTTGATCATAAGTACAATTTTGACATTCATTATAGTGATGATTATTTACAGTACGTTTTTCTTCATTGTCAAGATGACATCACAAAATTCTCTTCTAAACATGGATTCTTTATGAACATGGCATGACCAGATAATTGTCAGAATCTATTGTTTTGCACCATTGCTTTGAAGCCTTCGCATTTGTTTTGTACCTTCATTTTGGTAAACTGAAAAAAAAAAAAAAAAAAAAAAAAAAAAAAAGGAAAAAAAAAAAAGACAATGATCATTTTCTGATAAGCATAATGCATATGAATGATAAGCTAGGATTACAGAGACACGTACAGTTACGGTATTATCTAAAGAATCTACATTTCCATAGTTGAAAGTATCGTCATCTTCATTTGCAAACTCAGTTCCTTCCTCGTCGGAGTCTGCAATACTTTCAAAGGCATTTCCAGCCTGAGACCTCGGAGTCATTAACCTTCCAATAGGCGTCATCCTTGTATTGGAACCAGAGTGGTTAACAGACTGACCCTCTCCTACAGCAAGCAAGGTGAAATAAAATTTTAATATTATAAAAAAAATTGCTACTAATTGGGATATAAAACTCTCTTTAAATTCCTTTGATCAAGTACTCGACCAATAAACAATTTTCTCAAATATTAAATGGCGACACAGAGAAATTCAAGTGGAGACTGAGAACACAAACCGGTTCTTTGATCGGTTCGAAGAAGTGGAAGCCCCGAGGGAATTAAATTGAGCTTGTCTAGCGAAGAAGAAAACCTTGGAGCTCGAAAATTCGGGGGTGGATCAAACTTAGCTTCCTCTTCCATCCAATCGGTGCTCCTCGAAGCCACATTGGGCAACGAAGACGATATCCTATAAGACTGAAGCGCCTTGTCGTCGACCGACCTCGGTCGCATGTTCCGATCAATAGCCACGTCAGTGACCTCACCGTCAGACTCAAACCCTCGCTCTTCTCCGTCTTCGATGTAACTCTCTTCTCCTCCGTCTTCGGTTGCAGAGCGATTATCGGAAATGCGAGATGGCTTGCGGCGGATCTCAATGAGGCGCTGGAGCACCTGGTCGACGCTGCGCTTGTGGATGTAGAAGGCGGAGACGGCCATGAGAGAGGCTCCGACGAAGGCCGCCATGGCCAAGTGCAGGGACGAAGTCGACGGAGCTGAAGAAGAAGAGGACGAGTCCATCGGAGCGGACTCTAAACCCGCGTTTTGATTGATTAAAGCTTCGAATTCGAGGTTGAGAATGGAGGAGTAGCAAAGTCCGTTCCTGTTTGAAATGGCGGTCGATTGGTAGAGCGGGTTTTATAGTGTGCTCTGACTCCGATGGAGAGGTGTTGCAACCAAGGGTTTAAGAGTGGGAGCCACCCAACTCATACACGAACAAGACTGCCAAGTCAGATGTGTCGTACATAAACTGCCACGTATGAGACCCACGTGGACTGCACAGAAACGGTGCCTTGGGCCTTCCTTTATTTTGATTGGATGAAGCCCATGGGCTTTACTAAAAATAAGCCCGTCAATACTTTTGTCTCTACGTAGGCCCATAGGTACATGGGCTTTTTTTTCCTTTTTTAACAAAGAGGTTTGTTTTGTAGTCATAATTGGTATGAATTATTGCTTATTCATCCTAGACCTCGTACAAAATTTCAAACCACATATTTATCGTTAACTCGACAAAATGTTGTCTGATTCGAACATCGAGTCAGTTGGATGACACTTGAATATCATTTTCATTTGCCCCTCCTTCTCTTCTAACCTTTTCTTTACATACTGTGTCACTGATATCATTTCAGCCGACGTGGGTCAACACAAGTGACTCCCAGTAACAAGATTAATTTACTTTGTTTTTTTTAATGTTTTTTTCTTTTATATACGACTAATATGACGGGGAAATCAAACCTAAGATATTCATACAAAGTCTTAGCACATGAATACGAGTGCTTTATGTTCTAAGCAAAGCAACTGGCTTTGGAAGAAGACTTTTTATCACAAATGGTCCTTAATATTTACGATTTTATCACGAATGGTCCTTGAGGTTTTTTGTGTGACACTAATAGTCCTTAATGTTAGTGCTTTTTATCACAAATGGTCCCTTCATTTTAAATTCTGTTAAGTGTAATAAGTGGAGCCCACATGTCCAATCACATCGTGACATGTGGATTAAATAAATAAAGAAATAATAATTATTTTTTTATGAACCATTCTCTCTCTGTCTCTCTCCCCCTCCCCTCTGCCCTCTCTCCTCCCTGTGCTCTCCCTCTCCCTCTGTTTTTTTTTTCCTTGCCTCTACAGCCCGACCATCCCATGCCCACCCACCCGCAACCCACCCCTCTCCCTCTGTATATTTTGCAAAATAATCACTTGCACAAGGTAGTTTTACATTTCCTTTTACACAAATACTTATTCAAACAACTTAAAATAATTAAAAACATAGGGGGAGAGTAGAGGAGGAGAGAAAATACAGTGGGAGAGGGTAGGGGAGTTGGGTGTGGGTTGCGGCTTGCGGGTGGCTGTGTTAAAAAAACATAGACCAATAAAAGAATCCCAAAGACCATTTTTTCTTGCAGGTGGCAGGCAATGGCCAAGAAAAAAACAAAGGGGGATTGTGGGTTATGATTTATATATCACTATACAAAGATGGAGAAAGATATATGGGTTATGTTATTATTTTTACAGAGGGAGAAGGAGAGGACAGGGGGGAGAGAGGGAAAAGAGGATGGAGAGCGAGGGCAGAGGGGGAGAGAGATGGAGTAGAGGAAGGGGGATGAAAAGTTGTAGAAAAAAAAAGGAATTTTCATTAAAAAAAAAATTATTTAATTATTTTTTTCATCCACATGTCACAATGTGATTGGACATATGGGTTCCACTTGTCTTTCACATCAGACAGTTAACAGAATTTTTAACAGAGGGATCATTTGTGATAAAAAGTCCTAACATTAAGGACTATTAGCTAGTGTCACAAAAAAAACCTCAATGACCATTCGTGATAAAATCTTAAACGTTAAGGACCATTTGTGATTAAAAAAAAAAGCTTGGAAGAATTCATGCATCGGGTCTACTTTTCTTTTCTCGTCCCTTTACACTCCATGGAAGGGCTGCTAAGATTTCATTGAAGGGTAATAAATATATTAATCAATCACAAAGTTCGTAAAGTGACGAGGATTAGTGCGGTTAGAAAGCGACATGGTGAGAGACATCAAAACAAATCATGAAGACTAACCAAAATATTTGAAGACTAACCAAAATAAGCCAAGGGCCGATAGGGTACTAGATTATAAATAAATAGCAACTCTGATTCTTAAACGCCTTCGTAAATCATGTTATATATTTCTCCGTTATATTCTATTATTAAATTATAATTCGGGAGCTGGGTTTCTATTAATTTATAACATATTCTTTTCTTTGTTTGGTATTTGTCTTTCAATTCCTGATGCGAAATTTTGTAATGGTTGTGTATTTTTTTTTATAGACGTAGCAATTTCTACGTCAATAAAAAAATATTATAATTTGGGATGTGGTTGAGGGTAAGGACCCATAGGGATTGGGGTTGAATTTTTCCTTGTTACTTTCTAAATTATCTAAATTTAAAATTTAAAAAATACACAAAAATCTTACTCTCGTGTTAGGAGTTTGAATTTTGTTATACTCATTACCGAAATTTGAAACAAGAGAAAAAAGGTATGTCTTCATTCTCTAACTTTGAAGTTTTCTTTATTAACGGAATCTTCGAAAGTTGTTACAACAAATGAATGTAAAAGATAATGTTCTTTTTTTCCCCAGGCGAAAAAGGACTAAGTTATATATGGCAAAAAAAAAAGATTAAGGACTGAGTTATAAACTAATAGAATAGAACAGTTTATCTGCCACTCCATCGCAAGAGCAAATAAAAACACCACATTCCTCTGTCATTATAGCTTATGTTAAAATTATTCATATGTGATTTAAAGCTAAGATAAATGAGCACATTTTTCAGGTGATGTAATGTTATCAACGTCCACTCATATTATAACTCACGATACATGACAAATTGACCATGTGACGGCATCAAGACTTATTTTCCAGGAAATAGCAGGATCGGTACGTCTAATACAAGATAGCATACAATTATTATAGGCCAAAAGTCACTTTTGGTCTCTGTAGTTTGACACCTCAGCCACTTTTGACCATGTAGTTTCAATTTCGTCAATTTTGCCATTGTAGTTTCATAATTGTAGCAATTTAAGGACAATTCTAATTTCCATCAAATTATTCTAACCTCTGTTATCAATTAGGGGGTATTTTGGTCCAAACTTACATCCCCCCCGCCAACACAAGCTCAACACATCATCCCGCCCCCCCCCCCCCCCCCCCCCCCCCCCCCCCCAAAACCCAACTCAACCCCAACTAGCCACCACAGCCTCCCAAAGCTGCCCCAACCCCAACAAAGGCACAAGCCAGAAGCAAGCAAGTAGATAAGCTAGAAAAATAAAAATAAAAATGGTTTTGAAATTTAGGAAGGTGCATGGAAGCTAAAAGATGAAATCAAACTAAGAAAAAAAGAAAAAGAAAAATGGTTTGAAATTTGGGTGTCTGAGACAGCTAGAAAATGACTCGCATTCAAGCTAGCACGTTTGCCTATAAGATGAAGACAGAATGTTGTCATCCAAACACATTGATCAAGGGAGTTAATAATGTACAAGTTTAATATATGCACCCAATAGATCGACAAATTGCTTGTTCATCTAAATAGGCAATGTTGAATCATGCATGAAAAGTAACACCAAGTATTAGTGGCGAGAGAGAAATCTGTAATGATGCTTTGAGGAAGTGTTTCTCTAGGTAAAAGGAAGAAAGGGCCAAAACACGATAAAGCTTGACGAAACTACATCTACTTCTCCAATCCATGTTTTTGCATCTCAAAAACATCGCTTCCTCTATTTCTTCTTCTCCATTTCCTACTTCTTCCTCATCGGTTGCATCTATAATATGTGCTGGAGTTGGAGCGGCCTTGGGAGGCTGTGGTGGCTAACTAGGACCAAAATACTCCTGAATAGATAACATAAGTTAACAATAAGACAGAAAATAGAATTGTCCTTCAATTGCTACAAAAATGAAACTACAATGGCAAAATTGAAGGAATTGAAACTACAAGGTTAAAAGTGGTTGAAGTGTCAAACTACAGAGACTAAAAGTGACTTTTGGCCATTATTATATTGTCCTGTCTTTTTTAGTTGCAGCATGACGTCACTAACAATAAGTGTACTGTAGAAGGTGACTGATGGCAAGTGGCCAGTACACCATATGGCAAGTGCCCAAGGTAGAGCCCGCACTAGTAACTTTTTTAACTTTTTTTTAACTTAGTGGCCTTGACAAAAGACATTAGTCACATTTTTAAACTTTTTTTGTGACTAAAAAGGCTTTTAGTCACATTTTTTGCCTTTTTAGGTGACACAACAGTCACTAAATATCACCAAATAATTATGACTGTTGCCACTTTTTTTTTGGGTTAATCGTTTTATTAGTCCATGAATTTAGACCCGATTTGCATTTGAGTCCCTCAATTTCCAAAATGGCTCCTGTGATCCTTTAACTTCAATTTGTTATGACAAATGGTCCTGCCGTAAATTTTGTTAACTTTTCTATTAAATACATGGGTAAAATGGTATTTTTGTATCAAAATTGATTAAAATATGAATAAAAAATTAAAAAAACTAAAAAATTAAAATTAAACTCTCTCTCACCCCCTCTATCCCAATTTCTACTACCCAATTTTTTTTTTTTAGGTTAGTTTTTTATTTGATTTTCTTTTATTGTTATTTTAAAGATATGATTTTTTATTCATTTTTTTGGTTTTAATATAAAAATATCATTTTGCCCCTGCATTTAACAGAAAAAGTTAACAAAATTGACTGCAAGACCTTTTGTCCAAATGAAACTAAAGTTAAAGGATTATGGGAACCATTTTTGGAAATTGAGGTACTCAAATGCAAATCGGGTCAAAGTTTAGGGACTAATAAAACGATTACCCCTTTTTTTTTTTTTTTTTTTTTTGTGTGTAGTGCCGACCTCTTCATCAATTTGTTCAATCCGCTGCAACGCTGGCTAAGGTCCCACATAGCTTCATGCCAAAGGCAAAAGAAATCCTCCAAAACAGTATTGTTCCCTTACCTTTCCTCACCGTTAACTTTCTATCAACCAAGGATTAA